CCACTGAAAGGCTATCACTTATTTAGCGATTAATAATGGGTTTTAAATGTCTGTCGCCTGAGAAATATGAACTTCTTATATAATTTTATAAGAATCACATATGATTTATTGAAATCCAATACATAGTAACAATAAAAAAACGAGTTCTACAAATTCGATACTAAACAAGTATTTACTTAGTTCAAAACACGAATATCAAATAATGATATAAGCCAGTCACTTTAAGTGCAGTGATCAGCATGTCAGGCTATATAAATATGTCAAATTATTTCATTTTATTTTAAGCCTTATTATATAGGTGGTAAATTTAGAAATTACTTGCGGGATTTTGACATATTGTGCTGGTCAATTTTGCCAATTATACTTATTATATTCGCTATGGATTATGACAATGGATTCGCTTTAGGTTGTAAACACTGGCATGTTTTATTATTGAACCATAAACCTTTAAATATTTACTTATAAGCGTAAAAAATCGTGAATGAAATTGTAAAATGCCTTCGTAGGGTACACAGTCATTATCGTAAGTTATAAATTAAGTGTAATATTTGGATACAGATATTGATAATACACGACTAAAGAAGGTCATTTATGTTTGGAATAAAAATAAATGAATTTTACTAAACCAAGTCACACATGTGTAATACAACTTATTTCTTTTATATGTAGTTCTATTTCGATAGACGTGTTTTTAAATAATTTATTTAATTCCTTTGTATGACCAGACGTAAACAAAGTTCATATTTTTGGAATTTACCAATGAAAACCTTTTATTTGATACCAATATTGCTAGAAGAATATTTTCATATTTTGTTAAATGGCAGTTAACAAAAAAGTTGTCAGTATCACTCGTGATGATATAATGTTAGTTTATATATTTATTTAAAAGCAGTAAACAAAAAAGTTGTCAGTATCACTCGGGATGATGTAAGGTTAGTTTATATATTTATTTAAAAACGATTTATATATTGAATAGAATTCGTCTCACGAAATAATTTTTGCAGAAGCAAAGCTGCAATCAAACGTCAGAGTGTTTCTAACTTTTAATTTTCGAGTCCCCCAAAAAAGTTAAATTTGAAAATAAACATTTTATTTCTTTAGTGAAAATTACCTATATAAAAATACTGAAAAAAATGATACCAATATTTGAAGTCATTTGACCAGATTTTACCTAAAGTGTTTGTAATAGTAGGTGAGAAAAAAGATAAAACATTTTTATTTATTTTATGTATAAAATGAATGAGGAAGTATTTAAAACAAACATTAGTTCCCGAAATCAAACTAGATGTCGCTACGGTAATGTTCTTGATTTCTCCATGACAACCTTTCTGGTTTTCTTTCATGTTTAAAAGTAAATTCATTTTCAAAATTCGATGAACAACTCATATTCTATTGGTACTTTTTTCTTATTTGTATTGGTATCTATGTATCGAACTTTTTAAATTTCAGTTTTTTAATATGTTAGTTAATAGCAACGGAAATGACTGTTTTTGGTCCATGCGTTTCCTGCAAAAATTAACTTTTGCTAGAGCCGCCATCTAGTGGAGGGTAACACGTAGATATATATAATCTCAATTAGATATCAGATCAAACACAAATACGAAAAAGTACAAATATACAAAGGTAACGAGTCTGCAGACATAATATTGTAGCGGCATTAATTTGATTAGAATAAAATAAATTTTATTACATTTAGAAAGTTTTATTGGTCAAAGTAATAAGAAAAATTGCTTTATTTTTATATTTTGACAATAATAGTTTATTTGTGTTCACGTAAATGTTAGAAAATATATTACTGAGAATATTTTTGGGTGGATTTTGTAATGGGCCCTTTGGTCCTGTCTTTTTATCAAAAATACTTAAATAGATTAATCAGTAATAAGTACAAATTATGGAAATAATATTTCAATGCCATTTACAACCACGACATCAAAGCTTTTTTATTAATTTGTTAATATTATTTTACGTCTAAAATAAGATAGAGTTTGGCAAGCGAAACGTGACACCACCTATTTTTCCGTTTTCATATGGCAACAACATAGAACTGTCAGTTTGACACTACGTTAGACAATTCAAGAATATTGAATTTTGTTGTTTTTGCGAATTTGAACTTGTGTTTTTGGTTAAAAATTATGTCGAAGCCGATAAAAAGTTCATCGAGGAAACTTCTTTCCATCATGATTGACAAGTTTACTGAAGTGAAAACTGAATTAAATAAAAATTTCATGGAGAAATTACAACGATTAGATAAAGTTGTATCTTTTTTAGGTTAGTTTTGTATTATAATTTTGATACTTTCGTTTTAATTTTCTGTAATTAACTAAACAGATATTTTTTATAAAATATTGCTCTATTTCAGATAACTGTGATGGTGATATTCAACCAATAATGGAGGAGATAAATGCAATAAAAACTTTAGAAAAACAAGAAATGCTGAATTCGGAAACGCAGTACTTACAAAAAATTTCTTCAATGACAGGTCTCTTTTCTTGTTTTGATTTAAGATAGATTGATAGTATTCCTATAATATTTACATAGGTTTTTTATGATGTATTGGTTTTTATTGTTGACATCCAATGATGTCATAAGAATGTTTTGTTTAACAAGGAAATTCACAGAATTCATGAAACTAATCAAACCATGTAATTGTTATACATGCTAAATATGCACATAACTAAATTAAACATAAATTGCATTCATAGTTGAATAGGTATTTAAATTATTTTGATGTATGTGTCTATCATTATTTGCTTTTAAATACATTTAACATATCTTTGTTTCAAAGTGTTTAATCTTTTATAGATGTAAGTATAAGGACACTAAGAAGGATAAAAAATGAAGCATTAATTAATAAAGGAAAATGGGACACTCCTGGGAAAAAACGACCTCATCAACCAACAGTGTCTGCTTTAGATAATTTTGATTTAAGTGCAATTCGGAATAAAGTAAATGAATTTTACTGTGTGAAAAAAATTGTTCCAACATTAAGAAGCCTTCACAATGAATTAAAAGATGCAATAGGATTCAGTGGTAGCCGTGAGACTTTACGAAAAATTATGCTTAAGAATGGATTTTCTTTTAAAAGCAATGAAAATGAACGTTCTATGCTTATAGAAAAATACCAGATTTCTGCATGGAGGCACAAGTATTTGAGAGAAATAAATATAAAACGAAACGAAGGAAAGCAAATTGTGTACCTTGATGAAACTTATGTACATCAGAATTATAAAGTTAAAAAGTCTTGGCAAGGACCTTCAACAACTGGTGTCACTACAAAGATATCCTCTGGAAAACGGCATATTGTTGTGCATGCTGGATCTGAGGAAGGTTTTGTGCCTGGTGCATTATTAGTGTTCAGTAGTAAATCCAAATCTGCTGATTATCATGATGATATGAACTCATCGAACTTTATGAAATGGGTCAGAGAAAAATTAATACCAAATTTAAGTAAGCCCAGTGTAATTGTTATGGATAATGCCAGCTACCATATAAAACAAATCAATAAACCGCCTATAATGTCTAATACCAAAGCAGATATCCGTAAATGGCTTGTAAATAATGGAATACATTTTGAGGAATATCAGACAAAGGCAGAGTTAATGTGTTTGGTTAATGATAAGAAAACATTGCCTGTATATGAAGCTGAAGAGATTTTAAAAGAACATAATCATGAACTTTTATTGCTGCCACCGTATCATTGTGACTTAAACCCAATAGAGATGGTTTGGAGTCAAGCAAAAAGAAAAATTGCAAGCAGAAACATTGGAATACCAGGAAAGGAAATGGAAAACTTAATAATAGAGTGTTTTAACTTAATTACCCCTAGTGACTGGAAGAAATACACTGATCATGTTTTAAATGTCGAAAATGATTACAAATTAAAAGATGGCATTGTTGAAAACGAACTTGAAAAATTTATTATATCTGTTGGTGCAGACAGTAGTGAAGAGAGTGACTCTGATGATTCCTTGTCATTGTTTTCAGGTGTAGAATATTTAGAAACAGATTTTGACTATGAGTCAGACTAAAGTATTTTTAGTCTGATTCATAGTCAAAATCTTATCTTAAATTTTCTATTGTGATTAACATGATGATTTTGTGACACCTGTATTATGTAATTTATCCATGGCACTTAATTGTAACAAAAATAAATGTTTTTTTTATTGTAATCTGGTGTTTATATTGACTAATTTAATTTGATAGATAGTGGTTCTGGATCAGAGCAAAAGGTTGTGATGAAAATCCCTTAGGAGACATGTATGTGTTATGAACACATTATAAATATAAGGGCCAGAAATCAAAATTGGCTAACATCACATTTATTAAAAAAATGTGGCCAGAGTCGCCCATATTCATTACAAAAAAACAAAGAAGTCGTTGCAAAAAACACCCTTTTAATTAATGACAAATATGAATTTTTAATATTATAAGTGCTGTTAGCCAATAGGTATAACGAATGGGTTAAAAAAAAGATTCGATTTAGTCCGTCAGTCAGATAATAGAAAAATATTGGATACGTATTTTTTTTCGCTTTAATTTAACAACAAATGGCTTAAGAGGTACTATGCGACGACTTCAAATATGCTTTGCAACAATGTTACTTTAATACAGTTTATCGATACGAAATCAAGTGTCAAAATGGAGTCCAGTGGAGAATGCCGATATTGACATTTCGAAATTGCTCATCATTGATAGAGAATACGAAATAGTGATTTTGACACATTCAAAGTGTCTATTTTTTACGGTGATGACGATTCTTGGTTGTCAGTTGAGTTAGTGAATAGGCCTACTGATATGCTGTTAACTGTACAATTAAGAACAGTCACGCTTTAGTCAAATGTTCCAAAACAAATAATTTTAATTGATATCTAAATGTTAAGATTAAATATAATTAATAAAAGTATCAAAATTATTTTGCAGTACTACATTCAGTGTTTACTGCTTAAGAATTTTTGAAATTGCCGCCCTTTTCTTGTGACACGTTTCGCTTGCCAGACTCTAATTAAAAATTGATAAAAATCCAATGAACCCAAAGCCAGAAAATCGTTTAGTTTTATTTTGTAATGGCACTATACTGGTAACATTTTGTACGCCAACATCACTGGTCACGTGACATGACGTTGTGGACGTGTCATTTGCAGACAGCTCGTTGGCGGCGTTGCGCAGGCTCTTTCACGATAAAGTACTATTTGGAGAGTTACTAATGAACAAAAGTTGAATGGTTTTAGTCGAATTGATCAGATAATTTTATAGTTAGGATAGTGTAATCGCAATAAATCATAATGGGAAGTGAGTACCGTTTATAGAAATCTATTAGTGAAGAGGTTTTTCTAATTCGATACGTTTTTCATATTTCAGTGATGTTGTTGCTGTAATTTGGAAATTTAGTGATAAATGTGAGTACAAATTCTTACTTTTGTGTTTTCAGTTAAATTCTTAGAAGTTATAAAGCCGTTTTGCAGTATACTGCCAGAAATAGCAAAGCCCGAGCGAAAGGTAAGCCTTCACTTCATCTATTTAAATTAAAAAGCTCGACTATTACAAAGTTTTATTATAAAGATAATGAATTTGATTGCCACGAACGCATATGTACTCTATTTTATTGGATTTACCAAAGTGAAAGTGAATTTCTAACCTCTTGTGCCTACCTACTTAATTTAGGATAAGTAACTGTACTGTTAGGTACACTGCAATAAAATGATTTTGTTCTGAAGTCTTTCTAACAGAATGCATTCCCTTACAGATTCAGTTTCGTGAGAAAGTATTATGGACAGCAATCACTTTATTTATTTTCTTAGTATGCTGCCAGGTAAGTTCAGATTTTTGCCACATATTCAATTTTAAGTTACACCCATATGCCTGAATCTCTTCCTCAAAATATACTGTTGTTTACTTATTTCTTATATTTCTGTTACTGTTAAAGTAATGCCCATATTATTGATGACACCTTTTTGGTTGAAACATTTGAAAATTTTAATATATAAATATAGTAATAAATACTTGTTAAAATCTCAACATAACTTAGTACTGATAAATAAAATACTTTCAGATCCCTCTATTTGGTATAATGTCATCGGACAGTGCAGATCCCTTTTACTGGATCCGTGTCATCTTAGCTTCAAATAGAGGTACACTCATGGAACTTGGCATCTCACCAATTGTCACTTCCGGTCTTATCATGCAGCTCTTAGCAGGAGCGAAGATCATTGAAGTTGGTGATACTCCAAAAGATAGAGCTCTTTTCAATGGAGCACAAAAATGTAAGTGTCAACTTGAATACTTTTATAATGTCTGATTTCTTTTTTGTTAAAATTTATTAATACCTTTTATAATACTTACATGTCTACATTGAATAAATAATATTGAGTTTTTAAGACTACATGTGTATATTAAATATACATCTTTAATTGTTATATGGTTTTCTGTGTTTGGCTAACAATTGTTATGTTAATTTGTCAGTAGGTTGTTAATGTATAACAATTGTATGGAAAAACCAAATTTATATTGTTACCATTAATTATAATGCAAATTCTTGTTATGAGTAGATAATATTCATATTAATTAAACACCATTGAAATAAAACATTTTTTAAGGAAATGCTTAAAATGTTGCATTGTTTTACTTTGCATTTTTTATGTCCGTATTGCACAGCATTGCATTTCTAAAGAATATATGTTTAGTCAAAGAACCTGGGGATTTTAAACTTGTTTGTTAATTGAAGGTTTTTTTAATAGTCAGATTCTTTTTAGTAATGATAATAATAAAGATATCTAAAGTTTTCCTTAGAATGAAATCCCTGAAATTCATTTCTTGTTTCAGTGTTCGGCATGGTAATAACTGTGGGTCAGGCTATTGTGTATGTCATGACTGGCATGTATGGAGAACCCAGTGAGATTGGAGCTGGTGTCTGTCTGCTGATTATTATTCAACTATTTGTTGCTGGTTTAATTGTCTTACTGCTCGATGAGCTTTTGCAAAAAGGTAAATATTGATAACAGTTTAAATAAAACAAACGGGTTGTATAGTAAATCAGTTCTTTTTTGCAATGGCTTCAGAAAGTGTAATTGAAGTCTAACGTTAATAGTTTAAATGATTCACCTTTTGCTTTTGCTTCCTTACAAAGGGTTTAGCCGGATACGTATGACGAGTCGGCCCCCAAATGGGAATCGATATTGAAACTTATGTTTTAATATAGACTTGATGTTCAAACACGATTTATGTACTTTTCGCGACCGACTTCCGCTTTGACCTTGAGATAGAGAGCAAAATATCCGTATGCTTGACTATTACTGAATGTGATATATCTCTGAAGCTAATTAAGATAAAGAAGTGAAACTAACGCGAGGTGTTAGGTTACATTACAGAGTATATCACATATATTTTTTTATAATTTTTAGAATAAAAAATTACATTAAAAAAATAAAAATAAAAAATATCATGTTTTTTTTTCTGACTTCTCTGTGACTTACAATCACGAAATTAATATATGTTATGCTCCTTTGTATGCTCTATCACCCATAAAAATTGCGTGAAAAAAAAGTTGGTGCAACACAACGGAAAAAAATTATATGTGATTCGCGCCTTGTAGTGTGAGTGTATAAACAAACAAGTTCGAACTTGTTATCGAGCTGTTTACTGCATCGTTTGTTTAGCTAAAGTAACAGTCATTTATATTACACAAGAAGGCAGTTTGGGACTCAAATTCTGTCATAGGTATTTTGTATCAGCATTTTGAAATTATTAACTAACGAACCAAATCATTATTAAGTAATAATGTCGAGAAAGTGTAAAAATTGTAACAAGTACCTGTGTAAGATTCCTGGAGACCAGGATAACCAAGTTTTTTTTTTTATAACCAGGAGGTTTTAAAAAAGTTATAAGGAATGAAGAAGAAGCTAAAGTGTTTATTGACTGTTTGAATAAAATCGTAATAGTTAATGATATTTTTTGTAAGAAGTGTCGACTTATCCCATATATTAACAAAAAAGCTTCTACTTCTAAATGTGCAGCATTTAACTTGTCCGAAATAATGGACGATCAAAATAATCTCTCAGTACAATATGTGAAATCAGCACCTAATATCATCAAAGCAGAAGTAAAATCAAGACATATAAATAGAGAAGTCTATCGAATTTACATTCACTATATTTCCGAAGGTAATGACTACAATAGTATTCTTCGTTATTGCTGTGATTGCCCCAATGGCGAACGTTCAGTGGGATGCTGTTCTCATGTAGCAGCTATTATTTATTATCTATCATATCGATGATATTTGTCCAAAATCGTACGTCCTGCTGAGGTCCTAACTAAGTTATTTGCGACTCAAAGTGTTCCGATTGTAATTAATTACAACAGTGACGATGATTAATATTTTGTTTCTTGTATTTTGATAGACACGAAAAAGTAATAATAATGAGTATTGAACACTGGCTGTTTTTTTTTTCATTTCTTTTTTAACTATTATCCCATCTCTTAAGACTAGTTACTTATGTTTTAAAACAAGCTGATGTGAAATTTCGAAAAAAAAAACAATGATGTAATGTGAAAACCTTATAATACAGGGGTATACCATAAGACAGAAATCACATATAATTTTTTTTCGTTGTGTTGCACCAACTTTTTTTTCACGCAATTTTTATGGGTAATAGAGCGCACAAAGGAGCATAACATATATTAATTTCGTGATTGTAAGTCACAGAGAACTCAGAAAAAAAAACATGATTTTTTTATTTTTTATTTTTTTAATGTATTTTTTTATTCTAAAAATTATAAAAAAATATATGTGATATACTCTGTAATGTAACCTAACACCTCGCGTTAGTTTCACTTCTTTATCTTAATTAGCTTTAGAGATATATCACATTCAGTAATAGTCAAGCATACGGATATTTTGCTCTCTATCTCAAGGTCAAAGCGGAAGTCGGTCGCGAAAAGTACATAAATCGTGTTTGAACATCAAGTCTATATTAAAACATAAGTTTCAATATCGATTCCCATTTGGGGGCCGACTCGTCATACGTATCCGGCTAAACCCTTTCCTGTTAAGTTATGAACATGCAAAGATAGTTTTCATTGTATATTTTAAAAAAGAATATGTATTGATTTATAATTTTCTTTCCAGGATATGGTCTTGGATCTGGTATTTCTCTCTTCATCGCCACAAATATTTGTGAAACTATTGTTTGGAAGGCATTCTCTCCTGCTACTGTTAATACTGGTAAGTGTAATGATAGCAAAGAAATTATTTATATGACGTTTTATATCACTTGATTTTAAAGAAGGTTGTAAACATTGAGATATTTCTTTTAATATTAAAAATTGAATAAAAGACCCTTTAAGATTAAGTTTGAATATATACTTCTAATGTATTTTACCCTAGTTGCCAGTCTATTCTTTAATAGCATTATTTTTGCAATAAATAGTATTACCGAATTGGTTTAACTAGTAGATATGTTTAAAAGAAAAAACTATAACATTGTTTAAAAATTGCAAAATAGAAATCCCAGGAAACAATGATGACGCTGACATACAATATGAAAGTAGTAGGATGTAAGAGAGAAGGCTGTGACACTTATCACAATGAACTTGGTTGCATGTTGTTTTTAAAGGTGATATCAGAAGCCATAAAAACCACCAAGCATATATGAAAAGAGCCAAGAATATCAAAGAAGTGCTTTCACTTCGGCAGAAGTGTGTGCACTTCCTTGACACCTTACAAGAGGTGGATATATAGGATTAGTGAATATATATTTAGGTTAGGTATATGGGTGGGCCATCAAAACACAATAACAAAAAAACAACTTTACTTAAGCGCAAAAGCTTCTTCAAAGGTTTTTTTATTTATAAATATTGAATAATGGTGTATTTGCTTGTAGGTCGCGGCACAGAGTTTGAAGGTGCAGTGATAGCACTGTTCCACCTGCTGGCGACTCGTCCGGACAAAGTGCGCGCACTCAGGGAGGCGTTCTATCGTCAGAACCTGCCCAACCTGATGAATCTGCTGGCCACTGTACTAGTGTTCGCTATAGTCATATATTTCCAGGTAACATTATTTTAAAGTATTTTTTTAGATAATGATATTATTTAGCATGTGTAAATAGGCACAAGGATTTGAGTCATGGAATCAGCCATTGCAGAGAACAATTCCGTCTTCTTTCTCTTACTAACTTCTAAAGAAGTGGTCTATCAAAGCTGTATTATAAACGTTTATAATTTGCAGATTTCATATACCTGCTTGGTTTGGTATTTCCTGCGAAAAGGCAATTTTTTTATGATTTTTATAAGGTAAAATTATTTGTATTTAATTTTGAAATGACGGTAGCATATGTGCGTAGCCAAATTGTAAGCCTAATCCTTTAATATATTTTCGTTGATTAGAGACATAAAAGGCACTTGAAAACTTCTAAATGTATGATAATGAAACATAGATTTTCGTGCTAAGTTATTAGACGTAGGAATTAAAACAATGTCCACTATTGCATTAAGGAAGTACGAAATGTATTAAAAAAAGCGCAAGAAACCTTGTACATAACTCCATCATCTAGATGATGCTCTAGATCAAAAATAAAGTGAGGTATATTTCTTGTATTGATTGATGTTATAGTATACTATTAATATCTGTGTGTATGCTTTAAAGAAGCACTAACGAGTGTTTATTGTTGCAGGGCTTCCGCGTAGACTTGCCCATCAAGTCGGCGCGCTACCGCGGCCAGTATTCGTCATATCCCATCAAGCTCTTCTACACCTCCAACATCCCTATCATTCTGCAATCAGCTCTCGTGTCTAATCTCTACGTCATCTCACAAGTAAGTATCGGCTGTTAATATGATTTTTTTTACAATTTAGCTGAGCGGTAAAATAAACGCGTTTAAAATTAGTCGAAGAAAATTCAAGATTTTTAAATAAAAAAATTGTTTTTGTGCCTCACTCGACATAGATAGGTGTGTCGCGGACTTTTTTGTAGATATTTATAAGATCTACAATTAATTAGAACATTTTATGGTTTTATCTTTTATAGTTTAGACTGCATACACAAAATAATTAACATTTCTGATGGATTTTTTACACCTTGTGTCCGAAAAATCCAAATATCTTACGGAACCCTATTCTTTTCCAAAATGAAATATAGATAAAATATAGCCTATGTTACTTACTATGGATAATGTAACTTTCGAATGGTGAAAGAATTTTTAAAATCGGTCCAGTAGTTTTTGAGCCTATTCATTACAAAGATACAAAAGTTTTCCTCTTTATAATATTAGTGGTGTTCCGGATATCCGTATCCGCAAATATCCGACGGAAAATAATGATCCGTGTCCGTTACCATTCGGATCTGTATCCGCGGATATACATTTTTAACTATCCGGCACATTACTAGTTGATGTATATAGAGAAAAAATAAAATGCCATATTAATACATTTGAATGTCAGATGCCCGCGGATATACATTTATAACTATCCGGCACATTACTAGTCTATAAAGAAGAAATAAAATGTCACATTAATACGTGGGAATGTCAGATGCTGGCGGTGAAGTTCAGCGGCAACTTCCTGGTGAACCTGCTGGGCGTGTGGGCGGACGTGGGCGGCGGCGGCCCCGCGCGCGCGTACCCCGTGGGCGGGCTGTGCTACTACTTCAGCCCCCCGGAGTCGCTCGCGCACATCGCGCACGATCCGCTGCACGCGCTCCTCTACATTGTGTTCATGTTGGGCTCGTGCGCGTTCTTCTCCAAGACCTGGATCGATGTGTCCGGCTCCTCCGCTAAAGATGTAAGTTTTTTTTTTTATAATTATTATTGTTTCTTTATTTGTGATCAGTCTGTTGTCTATAAGCAGATGTGATGCGAAATTGTACACGTATATAATATTTAGTTTAATACACAAATTTTTTGAACGGCTCATTGACACAAACATTTGAGATCAAACACAATGGTGACACGTCAGGGTTATCAAGAGTTTTTAAAGATCTGTTCCAGTTAATAATTTTTGGTATTTAGTGATGGAGTTATGGGTGTCCAGGGCCCGGTATATCTTTGTTTTCTGTCTTTTCAAGATCAAAGTGATAATTTAATGATATGTTGACGTTTAAGCATCTTACGGACAATTGCACAAACGTCCATTTAGGTTTAATGACGTCTTTAAGCTCTAATCAACATCAAATTTATATCGGTGATGCCGCTTTAAACTAATGATAATTATAATGGACGTTTGTGCAACTGGGTGTTTGTGCAACTGGCTGTCAATTATACTGCCAAAGATGTAGGTGTAATAACATAATGTTACTCATGCGAATAGGCTATACGAGTCCGTTTCTAAATAGTATTGAATATATTTTATTATGAATATTTCTCGATATAACTTTGTTTTCTTGTTGAAAATAATTATTAACAAGTGGAAAAAATGCGGTAACTTCAAAACGTTTAAACGTCATGTTACTTCTCAGAGCGGATGTGACGAAATTGTACACGTATAGAGAAGTCGTTGTTATAAAAAAGTTATGTCGCAAAATAAACAACAGATTACAATTAAAATTTATGTTTTAGGCTTTTATTTTTATTTCACCAATCTGGTAAACTATATGATTATTAAAAATGTCTATAAGACTTTGAAAAATCGATTAGTTGTTAATCGATTTAGGTAATTGGACAATGATCGATGACTCAAAATCCATAGTGATTTAAAATGTCATATCTCTGGTCGTGCACTTTGACGTCACGACAAGCGCGCCAAATATTCCGGCGTTTAAACTGCTTGTAGTTGTTACTTATGTTCATTGATTATCATTGTCATTAAATTTTAGTTTTTCGATTCCGGGTATTTAACAATGTAAATAATTAAAAAAACTCATTACAGTTTGACAGAACAACAGATTCGTGAAATTAGTTCTGTCTTACAAAATCACTTGTTTTCTAAAATTAAAATATAGTCATGTATTTAACATAATACACTAACTAAATAAATAACGTTAGTTAATCTTTTTACGTTATTAAACTTAGTGAAAATCTCATTGAATTTTGTAATTGTCCTGTTCAGGTTGCGAAACAGCTCAAAGAGCAGCAGATGGTGATGCGCGGTCACCGTGACAACTCTATGATTCACGAGTTGAATCGGTACATCCCTACGGCGGCCGCGTTCGGTGGTCTGTGTATCGGAGCGTTGTCAGTACTGGCAGATTTCCTCGGCGCCATCGGATCCGGCACCGGTATACTTCTAGCCGTCACCATCATCTACCAGTACTTCGAGATCTTCGTCAAAGAACAGGCGGAAATGGGTGGCATGAGCACCCTATTATTCTAAATTCAATAACTAGGACTGACCTTAGTGATGTGACGTATCGATTATGTGATGTGATATGACTGTCAGATTTTAGCCATTGATTTTTAAGTGTCAACTTTTACGTGTATATATTTCTTTTTATTGTGTTAATCGAACTAATTTGAAATAAAACGTAATGCTCATCGTTGTTTGAAAACAAATCTGTATCAGATGTTTAGAATACATTTTGTTACGTATAACCTTTGTGAAATGGTTAAATGTTTGCTCTGTAATGTATACATCAATGGAAATACAGGTCAGTCCTTTCTTTAGAACGTCGCCTTCGACGCGAAAGTGCCGCTCGTAGTTTTTTTTTTATTTCTCGAAGGTGTGGAGCTTTCGCGCCGAAGTTCTATGTGTGCGTGCCGCCGTGTGGGTTATGTGGTAATTTATATGAGATGAACTTTATAATAAAAAATAAAATAATTTACGAGAAGTACAGAGATTGTTTTTGTATCGATCCCCCGCGTAGTGTTGTTCCTAGCATGTAATTCGTTAGGTTTTTCTCATAGTACTATAGATATTTGATGATTTGTAAAATACATTGTATCGGTAGTATTGTGCATTGTTGTGAATTTTACTGTTGAGTGCATATCAGATTATAAAACACTTAGTTTGTTCATTTATTTTTTTATTCATACTGAATAAGCATGTGATAGATTATAGTTAACGAATTAACACACATGACAATCGGTAAATTAAACATTTAAAAAAATTGTTCATATTTTATTTTATATAATTTTGAATATTATTTATAATCCTTCTTATATGAGCTAACACAAACACTTAAAGGGCAGATAAATCTTAAAAAAACAAAGGAGGTTTGTTATTATGTAACTTTATTCTCCTCACTAGACATGCAAATACAAAGACCAAAAAAAAAACAATCACGATTCCCTCAAACCTTATAACAAAAACTCACGACTAAAATATACGATTGGTAACAAATTTTATATTTACATAGACGGCAGAATTAACAAAGTATGACGAACCATTATATCGTGTGGAATATAAATTTGATAATATACGTTGAGATCTTATAGAACCCAGATCGACGATTTGGTAAGAGATCAACGAAACAACATCGCCTAAGATTCCTTTATATTGAAACCTAGGTACACATGGCACGACTATCCTATACAAATAGGCACTTGGTAGTGATTAGCGATAAGTTATTGCTTCAAATTATCCTTACCAATACGGGGAACGATCCCTCGAAGGGCTTTTATACCGAAACACAAATGGAAGACTTCTCAGAAGGCCTACCAGATTTACTCGACGCGACGAGCGGTAAGGCTACAGTTAACGGTATTTGCGAGATCAATTTGTACTAGTAACGGTAGTGTTAGGTTTTTTTATCCAAGTAGTATAGCTACTTTCTTTACAATTAACATTGAGACTGATTAGGGCCGAGACTAGAGACAAGACCCATTGGAATGGCAGCATTGCGACGAGACTACTATTAATTTCTATATTCGCCAAGGAAACTAATGTGATTAGAGTTGAAATAGTTCAAAAAATACATTTTATAAACTACACAATGAAATAGTTTATTGTAAGGATTTAAAATATTTTGTTTTTGAATAAAATAAGTAGTTTTGAAGTTAAAAAACAAAATTTGACCATCCCAACTCCTGAAACCAGTGGACCTAAATTTCTGAAGAATATTCAAATAATCTATGAAGAGGTAATTTCTTTTTCGGAAACTGATTCGATCAATTTAATTTCTTTATCTACGGGAAGTTTCATCATACTCGGGTGATATAATCTATTATTTACGCGGGCAGAGTAGTTATGAATTTTTAGATTATAGAAAATCTATAGCTTTTTTATATTTAATATTTATGCGGTAACCTCTGCGCGCGATTTCGACTCGCTCTTGTTCGGTTTTATCATTACTCTTGGTTTTACTTTTACTTGCTCAGTTTAAAATTCTTTAGTGCTGAAATACTCGTATGTGTCTCGGCCCTTACAATTAAATATGTATTTTTACGTAAATAAATACTGATTTCCATAAAAATTGCAATATTAAATTTGTGTGTACATTTAAAATTTAATCAACAATTTTGATCAATAATGTTCCGAAATTATATACAAAATAGTCCGTATAAGATGTTTTGTCCGTCGGTTGAAAGTTCAACTGGACGCAACTACACCAACTGGAACCAAGAACAAAATAGAATCACATTAAAGACAAAAACATAAAGTCGAAAGCATCTGTTTATATAAAGTTCGAATTGGATGTAGATAAAACGTCAGCAGGTCAATTATGTTAATATTTACATAATAATTGAATCTTAACCACTACCATTTTGCCATTGCACTATTTACCTGAAGTCCAATATTATTATATATATATGTCCTCATTGATGTGTGAAGAAGACATTGCACTAATAATATCAGACTACAGGTAGACAGTAAAATGGTAAAATGCAAATAGTAAACTGCAGATTTGACCTGCATGCCTTTTTTCTCTGGCTATATTATAGATCTATATATTAAAAAAAAAATTACGTTACAATTGTTAGACCAAGGATCCAGTTTACATAGAAACGTCCGGTGATAAAAGTTAAATCATTAATAATGCATTCCAATCACAGATTAAAATAATCGCACCCTGCTGAACCTACAATACAATATGATTTCATTATCTAGCAATTTTCCTTTCCAGACCATTCTGTAAAATGAACGTAAATTGTTAAAATATGCGCCATGTTAAATTTAGTGTGGCTACATTTTAAAAATATTTATCTTTGCTTATTACGGGATAAAACCATCCTTACATTTTAATGGATGATTTAGTATTCACATAATATTTTACAAATGAATAAATTCTTCAATTAATTCTAGGCAATTCAACGATAACACTCCCTCATAGTATTATATCTATAAAAAAATTGAAGTATAGCCAAAAAGCACTTTACCCACTATAGATAACTTTTGCATTATATATATTTACAAAGCTAGACCTAATCTATGGGCCTATTTCATTAATTTATAATTTTGATTGCATTGCATTTAAAGCGCTTGGTGTTCTTTTACATTTTTTTGTGTTTCAGTACCGCATAAATAACAAATAATAATTAAAAAAAAAACTAAACCAATGGTGTTTTATTCTGAAAACATTTATTAGATTTAACAACATCCGTGTAAGGAGAAAGAAAACAAAAAAAAATAACTTTAGAATTAACAGTGCCAATTATCTACTAATTAATTTGGACTCCTTGATGAAGAGAACAATTACTTTAACTACTCCAATTCATCTCTTCAAGTCCCCTTAAAGTAAAAAGTCAACTTTGATTCCCTAGTGAAGGATCGTCTGTTTAAATCATATATATGTGGATCTTAATTTCGAATGTCATCAATGAAATAGTTGTTTAAAAAAAAATGAAATTAGGTATAAGGAAGTCTAAAAGTTGACTGAACCAATAATATAATAAAATATACTCTAAAATATAACAACAAAAATTAATTTGGAGCCGCACCAGGCAACTGAAACAACATTATCTGGCTAATACAGCTATTTATACTAGTGTTTTTACTATTTTATTTTTTGTACATGCGTGTAATAGCACTTAGTATATCTACAAACTGAACTTAGTCAAATGGTAATTTAGAATATTCTTTTGGGTGCCGGTGACCCTTTCACACTATATTCATATCCACACACAAATATACAAAGCATTTTAGCTGTCTATATATGGGGATGGGTTTTACCAACATTTATAAGTTTAAAATTCACTGTCACAAGGATGCAAAAGTCAGTCTTAATCTTTCGAACTGCAAGTTAGATATCTGCTAGAATTAATTCGCGTTTATCATATTAATAAAAGCCATTATACACTTGCATTTCAAACGGCATTGTGTCAAATGAGAATACCCTATGAATTTTCACATAAAATCTGGAGATGCACATACTCTGGTTAAAACTTTAACAAGTCATCCTCAACAATATGTCTCCGATTTGCCAATGCATATGTAAGTTGCGTGTTAACGTTACGCCATTGCCGACGGTTCCACAGGGTTACAACGAGAGCGTGACTCCAAAATGGCGGCGCACCGTTAAGACTAACAATTTAAGGCGCTGGTCGTGTATAAATTAAAATAAGAACGCGTGTTAAGCAACCGTCTCTATCTCTTCAGGTATAGGAGCGGTCTGATCAGGCGACGCTATAACTTTAGACGGCGAACTCGCGTAAGGGAGAGTCTTTAGTTTTCTCGCTTCGCGTCGCTGTTTCTTTTGTTGCATCACGAGTCTCAATTGCTCCAGTTTGCATTTGGTTTTCGAATTTTCCATAGCTAGGATTTTGGCGGTATCACATTTCTTGCAGGTTTCGCCCGTTGCGGATTTCCCAGCGCAGGTAGCGCACGCGGTGGGATGTAATCTGCTGCACTGGCATTCTGTGTTGTCGCAGGTACAGGGTCGAGCCCCTGTCGAGGATGTGGAGGGCTGGTGTCCGTCACACTGCCCGTATGAACAGGAAGCCTGACTGCAGCCCGAGCACTTGCTGGACTCTTCTAGAGTGCTCGCTGAACACGAGTGTTTAGCTTCCTTCTGAAATTACAAATGTGTTTGAGATTAAGACTATGATGAAACATGTCTCAATTCACTATATGGATGAAGCGCGTAGGTTCTTTAAAAAGAACTATATTGCTAAAGGGTACTACAAAATTTATTTATTTAGGTAAGTATGTTATGAAGGAACTTCTTTACAAAGTACTTAAAAGTTTGATGTTCTTAAACATTGAAATATGCCTATGGTGCCTTTATATAAAGTACATTTTTGTCTATGTTATTGGGTAATACAACTAAAGAATGAAGCGCGTTAAATAAAAAAATAAAAAAACTATCATCTGTCAATATGTCAGGAAAAATGGTGCGTTCACGGGAATGTGTTAGGAAAAAAATATTTATTTAGGAAATCTTTTAATGTTTCAGCATAATTATGAATAATATGTTAAAACGTTAATTGATAACCCGACACGCTTTATGTTATGAGTCAAAGTCAAAGTCAAAATAATCTTTATTCAAATAGACTTCTTAAAAGTACTTTTGAATCGTCCAACATTTTTTCCCTACCACTCGTTCAGGACGTCTTATGGCTGATAAGAAGAACGAGCAAGAAACTCACCAGCTCTAATAAGAGTAATGACATTTACAAAAATCATGTCATTACCAGATCAATACATTATAAACAGAGATAAAAAAAAACTATGGTCTTATAATAATAACATAAACATTTAATAATAATGGAAACGAGATAATGAGTTTAGAAGTAATCACCTATCCAGTTGCTGGATGATCTCAAGTCCAAGCGTTCTTATCTGTTATATAATCGGATACCTTATAATAAGCTTTTTTAATAAGTATTTTTTTAATAGTAGATTTAAACTGCATGATATCTAATTGTTGTATTTTGCTTGGGACCCCATTGTAGAAGCGCATACAAAGACCCTTGAATGAGTTATTAACTTTTTGCAGTCTAGTAACAGGCACTGTTAATTTATTTCTCCCTTAAAGAGTCCCTAATCCTAAGATTATAAATTGATCGAATTGCTCTTTTCTGAAGCCCAAAAATTGTTTGTATATCGGCAGCATTTCCCCATAATAGGATACCGTACGACATAAACACTATAAAAGTAACTGAAGTATACTAATCTGGCAGTATCTATGTCAGTTAACCTACGAATCTTCATTACGGCATATGCTGCAGAGCTAAGTCTACTCAACAATCTATCAATATATGGGCCCCACTGTAGTTTAGAATCTAATGTTATTCCTAAAAATACTGTGGTATCTACAAGACCCATGTTCTTATCTTTTATATAAACATTTATATCTACTTTTTAACATTAGGTAGTACAAATTTTAAGCATTTTGTTTTTCCTTCATTAAGGAGAAGATTATTTACATTAAACCAATGTACTACTTTAGCGATAGAATTGTTCACATCGTCATTTAGAGGTAACCCTCTTTTAATTTTAAACAAGAGTGAAGTGTCATCCGCAAACAAAACTATTTCGTGATCATCCCTTACGAAATAAGGCAAGTCATTTATGTAAATCAAAAACAAGAAAGGACCAAGTATTGAGCCCTGCGGAACGCCCATCTTAATTTTCGATCCAGGGGATCTTTTGCCATTGATATCAACCGTCTGTACTCTGTCAGTCAAGTATGAGACAATAAAATCCAATGAGTTATCTCTAAATCCATAAAAATGCAGTTTCCTCCACTATCAAAATTCACTCATTTAGTCTGACATTTATAATCCTTTCTAAGGAACAATTGGTGGTGTCATGCTCATAAATAATTATCAACTTTGAAATATTTTTCTCAAATTATATAAACATCAATACATAGTCTTATATTTTTCTTAAATGCAAAGGGTATAAAGGGTTACCACATCTCAGGCGTCGTCCTGAGATCTTTGAAATCCGTTCAAGATTTTTCAAAGCTCAGAATTTTAAGAATGATTAATATAGTATTATATTTTGAAAGAAGTAGCAACATTTATTGACCTTTGATTGATATAGTATTACATATAACAATACATAAAAATTAAAAAGATCTCTTTAATAAAAAGTTATACAAAATAAAAATAATCTTCCTAACTTTGGTAGCGCATGTGCAACAAGTGAGCAAGATTCCCCGAGATCCACAATGTATAAAAAAGATAGTAATTTGACTTTTTCTTCTTCAAAGTACTTTGGGGAGTAAAATCTCAAACTGCATCAAATCTCAGGATTTTTCAATGAAAATGAGGCCCTTTCCCTGTAGTTTTGATTTTTTCATCTGGTAACTCTATATCACCTTATTTATAATTAGCTTTCCACCAGTGGCTTCGCCCGCGTGGTCTTTAGGGAACTGTTTATTTGGATGTCGATTCATATCATGACATGGACATAATTACAATGACATATTGAATAGCAAACAATAGGGATGACGACTGGGTAAAAAAATAGAAATTATAATTTGTCAGTCAGATAATTAATATTAAATAAAGTTAGATAAAAAAATATTCTTCTTCTTCTTTTTAATTAATGACGTTGTCCTTGTGGATTTCGCCAGAATTCAGATATTAGATACATATTTTTTTTACTTCAATTTAACAAGAAATAGATGACAGGCATTAAAGTTGAGGAGTGGTGGTTCGCTACGTCAGTTTTGTAGAAAATTAACAAAAGCGTGACGTCATGTGACATTTTAACTCAATGTATCGCCGTAATTTAAGACGTCTTTTTAAATTTTATGGGTGATTATCCATATTTTCAACTTTCTACCTACCTGATAGAAAAAACAAAAAGAAATAGTTGTCATCCCTATGGTTACTATGGTCACATTTTAATTCCCTATACAAACTTGCACTCCCATTTGCATCCCTTTATTTGTTGCTTTTCGGGATAAAATATAGCCTGTGTTTATTGCATATGATGTAGCTGCCCGTGGGTGAATTTTTTTATATTTGTCCAGTAATTTCGGAGCTTATTCGATGCAAACAAACAATCAAATCTTTCGTCTTTATAATAATAGGGATAGGGATTAAAGTATGAAATTGCCGATTCGTACTGAAAATCAAAATTGTACTGCTTTCTAGGAAGAAAACTTCTTGCCTCGTAGATAATTGTCTAAATCACGAAAAAATGGTAGTTCGTTGGAGCAAGGTCTGGTGAATACAGAGGATGACGAATGGTTTCTAACGTTCCTCATGCTGTGTGAGGTCTCGCGTTGTCATGGCGCAAAGGTGAAGATCGATTCATGAGTCGGGGCTGTTTTACAGCTAGTTTTACCAACATTGTTCGGAGTTCGGTATACTAGACATCTGTCGTTATTGCTTGACCAGCCCTGCGATTCTGTAAAACTCCAAACCCGAATTCGAATTCTCTCAGGTGTCCGAATTGACTTCAAAAAGAGGCATACGCTCAACCTTGAATTGGTAATAACGTTTCGTAGCATAAGTGAAGTGAGTTTCGAAATGATATAGGAATAGAATATCTGAGAGACGTGTATTCAATCAATTTTGTTTTGTATTTTTATACAAAAAAATGGAATCAATAGAATTTTTACACTAAATGACGTGAATTCGGACACATGAGTGAATTCGAATTCGGGTCTGGATTTTTACAGAATCGCAGGGCTGGTGGAGAAAACTATAGTGAATAACACCATGCTGAGACCACCAAACAGTTACCATTACCTTTTTATTGGTAAGTTTTGCTTTAGGACACTGTTGTGGCGTTTGACCTGGGGTCAGCGATTGCATTTTTCTTTTACGGTTATCATAAAGAATCCACTTTTCATCACATGTCACAATTCGATCCAATATTCCTTCATTTCAAGGCAACACAAGTTTCAACACGCGTTTCTTTCTGCAGATCAGTCAGTCAAGTCAAATCATGAGACACCCATTTTTCGTATTTTTTTATTTTATTGATTTGACGCAAATGCGTCAATATTGTGGGTAAGGTAACGTTAAACCACGCCGCTAATTCCTGGGTAGATTGACTAGGATCGGCTTCCACCATCTCTCTTAATTCATCGTTATTCACTTGTGTGGGCGGTCTTCTTCGTGGCTCGTTCTTCAAGTCAAAGTCTCCATCAAGTCAAAGTTTCAACCAAAATCGCACGTTGCGTTCATTATCAGACCCCTCTCCAAACGCAATATGGATATTGTGGGCTGTTTCTACCGCGTTACTTCTGCGTCGGAACTCGTATTCAAAAATCACTCGAATTTTCGCAGTATCCATCTTTCTTGTCTAAGTTGAATAACAAAAACAATCGAAAGTCGATATTCAAATGTTTCACATTTTTTAAAAAAAGAACATCATAGAAACTATGTGTAAAAGTTTCTTTCGAAAATCTCAAACCATGAAGATTCCATGTCAATTCAAGGAACCTATTACAATAAATTTCATACTTTAACCCCTAATATTAGTATAGAAGTAAAGATATATGTATAAATTAATAATGCTATGAATTGTTCATTAGTCATACTTATTAAAACCTAATTTTTCATAGGAATCAATCCTAAAAATGACCATAAATTAAAAACCTTTATTGCTTAATTTCTTGAATACATAAAATTTGGCGCTCACTTAGATAACCCGTTACTTTTATATAAAAAATAGTTTAAAACGAAGCAACAATTCCTAATAATCACAATACTTTTTTATTTCTGAAGGTGCTTTGATGGAAAGTACTTTAGAAAAGATATATATATATATATTTAAGAAAATAATTTAAATTCGTCCTTAAATACATCTTTAATTACAGACTGTTTTGATATCTCTAACTTGATAAAATACTTAGTCAGTGCTTGGCCTTTGCGACTACAAATAATTGTTCCTTTTCCGAGTACCTTCAGTCTCACTGCTTCCTACTGATTATGGCTTAGTCTTATGAGGGTATATCGGTGAACTTGATCATAACATTAAAGCAAAATTTATAAATTCTCACCTGAGATAGAGCGATTGGTGGTGTGGCACACAGTAAATCATTCAATATGTGAATAATTGTTGAAATATCCCTCTTTGGTCGCCCATATCTGAAATTGATGTATTAATTGTATCATAAAGCATTCTGAAATTTAACTTAATTATATTATTTTTTTAAATATTATTATTTTATAACTTTATTTGTAACCTCTTTGGAGATGATCTATGAATATTGCCATTCATTGTGGCACTACTTTACAAAATAAAAAAATGTTCACAAAAGAGGTAGGTAATCTATTAATCATGTGGCATTATTTTAGCAACTTTATATGTTCTTCCACCCTCCTAGTTTTTAACTAATCACCTCTCAAAATCACATTTTTTTTGTACAAAGTATCTTATTTTTTTTATTATCTATGAATATGGTAAAGTATAAACAATTTTTAATTTGATATATTTTAATAAATTATTTCTGAGCCTCACTAGGTTTTTATACTTCTTTAACATTGTAAATAGTTCTTGATAAAAATCTCCTAGATAAGACATTATAGTTTGTTTTAAGGTTATATATCAATGACATAAGCACACATTGTGTACTGCACCAAAATTGCAGATTTTAACAAACTAGCAAGCAATGACTGGTGTATATAGGGCGGGGAGAACATTAACGACGTGTCACGTCACGCTTTTCAGGAATAGCGTATTTAAGAATCAATAAATTCGTCATTCCTCACTACATTTCTTGCCTTTTGAGCTTCATGTGGTTAATGGACAACCCTATATTCATGCTTATGTTATCTATTATAAATTATTTACCTGTCTTGCAGTGCAGGATTGAGTGTACCCGAAAATGTCCCTGAATATATTCCTTTACCATGATGCTTCATGGACTCTATCACTGCTCCAGGGCCTATCTTCGAGCGCACTGCCTCCTCAGCAGTCCGCAGAGCAATTTTGTTTGTCAACACTTCCTTTGATAGTTTCTTTAATTTCTGTGTTAAATTCTTTGAGGCTTCTATAAGAGCTTTTGTGTCTACAGGAGGAGTAGGTGAAGCTCTTTGTGGTTTTTTGGGTGCATCTGGTGCTTTGAATGGTATTTCCTTAGAAGTTGATGGTGTAGGATTATCATCAGTTTGTCCACTGCTCGGCTGGAGGATTAGTTTTCTAGAATTTGTTATATATGGATCTGTTCGAGATGTTGAAGGCTGTGAAGTACTACTATCTTGTCTTATCTGCATTCTCTTTTTATGTTTATTAACTACAGACTGCATGAAAGCTTTCTGTTTATTTTGTCCAATGGGGTGTTTAAACTTTGAAGTTTTATGTAATAAATATTGGAAGCGCTTATTTTTTAAAGGCTCATTTATACTTTGGAATGAAGGCAATGGACCTGTGGTAGTTTCTTGCACCCCATGACTAGTTGTAGCCAAATTTGATATTTCTCTGTCCATCATTGACTCATCTTGTTCTTCAAATAGACCTTTATCAACTGCACTATTAAAAAGATTTTCCATAGGATACTCATCTATGGTGCTCTCAGCAAGGAATGAGCTTTGGTCAGTAAAGTTATCACTGTCATCACTTAATGAACTATCTGGAGTCAGAGCCGATGTTGATGGACATGGTTGGTCACACATGGCACTTGTAGAAGGGATCACATCACTACTAAGCTTACTTTGTGAGAGTAGATCTATCAAATTATTTTTCACAGTGTTTACAAGAGTGGCCTCCCGGCTGTCAGAGGTAGACACATCAATAGGACTAGACACCAAATTAGATAATGATTTTATAGGAGATTGTTCATTATCTAAAGATGTGTTAGATATATCTGATAGTGTACAGTTTGTGGTGTCTATGGATTCTTCTTTTTTATCACAAGATTCAGATTTCTCAGCATATTTCTCTTCAGCCATTGACCTATACAAATCAAAGGCATTCTGTATCATTTCCAAATCTTGTTTCTGTAACACATGTGTATTGCTTTCTTGTTTTGTTTTATTATTGTCTTCAGATACATCTTCATTTTCTAAAGGCTTCTGTTGTGTGCTCTGGGAGCATGAGGAATCTCTTGCATCACATTTGGTTCGACTGGAGGATGAAGTTTTAGATGGAGTAGATGTACGTAAGGAACGGGAACTACCAGAAGTACTTGAGTTCAATGTTGACAGTTGCAACTGAATAAGCATCATGTGGTCACCCAACCTCATTGTTAGATTAAGAGGGGACTTTCCACTCAAAAAATCATTAACTTGTGTGTCATTTAAAGATTCCAATGCTTGCATTACAGAATTCTCTGGTCTTTGACTCTGTAAACAATGGCCAATTTAAATGTTAATAAAGAATCATCTAATCACCCAACACATGTGTTAATAGTTTATAACAATGATAAACAGCTATTGATTAGTTTCACATTGTAATGAAACACGTGATTATCATGAGGTACCTACTAAATTGAGATTTCGAAACAATGTGACGTACTCACCAAGAGGCCTGTTTCGACGCTCGGCAGCAGAATAACTCGCGAGCCGTCCAGTAACCCATTTTCTTCGAGAGTGCCATCCCTTAGTTGTCTGGGGAGACAAAACCATACATCAATATCAGAGTCAAAGGACGCTTATGCGTCATCGTATCGACGCAACTTATTTCCGTAATGTTTGACAATAGAAGCTTGGCGTCTCAATTTTACTCACCTTTCGCGATGCAGGAGGCATATTCGATCTTTTGACACTTTTAGTTTCTTTGACACTACTTTTTTGAGATGCTCTACTGTGTTTTTACCGTTCAAACTGATTGAGAAATTACCACCCGTTGTAGTTTGTATATTCAGAGTTATGTCCGTGGTTTGTGGAGAGCCACACCCGTATACCTCTGTTCCTGTAGCACGTTCCATATTTTCCACATAAATTGCACTAGAATTTACACTTTAACACTATTTTAATGGCGTAAGACTTATCTTAGATTACACAGCTATTTTATTGCAGAATAGAAATAACAGGGTCACACGCCAGACCCCCAGATTTTGATGTGGCCGTCGGTGTGACCAGTTGCCTTCGCGATATCCCGTTAACTTTTTTTTTGTACAACAGCTGATGCAAAGCGCTACTCTTTTACGTTCCTTTTCACGTTTTAGTGATGAAGAAGTCCTTAATTACTTGACATCTTTTTAATTTTATTTAAAAAGCGGTAACTTTATGTCATTATTAAAACAAATTAAAGAGAATAACACTTCAATCGACCTCTATGTTTTATATTTTCTCTTATCAAAGACGTGAAATAGAGTGAAACGAACTGCAAACGTCAAATGTGTCAAATATAGCAAGTAAGGCTATAGGCGGGAAATTTAAACACACGATGACGTCACCTTCAAGTTTTGCTTCTATGAAATTGATTGAGTCATGCATGAACATGAACACAAACGAGATTTTTTTTTTTAGGAATTCGAGAGAAGAAAGGCATGTATGTTAAGTGTATGTAAGTATGATATGAGGTGTAAGTAAAGAGCAATAATAAACTAATGTTATGATTCAAAAATTATAAAGACAAGATGTTTTCATGACTCCGTGCATTCGTCAAAGGTCAAAGAGGAATAAAAAAAAAGTAAAACAAAATCACAATCCTTTTGTTTATTAATATTTTTATTCCACTAGGTTGGTGATTATAACCCAGATATCAATTTAAATTTGTTTCTAACTTGCAACAAGTTTGATACATCAAAAAAGAAGACATGCTTCAAGTTTGCCATGGCATTTGCAGCAAGTTTATATCAAACTTTCTAGTTTCAGTGTAACAAACTTGCACTACCTTTGACGTATGAAAGGTACTAATACAGGTTTAAACTAATACATTTACATCCTCCACCAACCCTTATTTTATGCCCATGGGGATTGAATTTATCAAAATCCAATTTAAGCGGGCATCTTCATCATAGTAGCTCCAATCTTGAATTTCAGCTCAATCAGTCAAAAATGTAAGTAGATTTATACAAATTTCTATCCCCTATTTTATCCCCTTAGGGGTCCCCCCCTCATTTATCAAAATTAGTAATTTATCAAAATTATTTCTTAGGGCCTACGTCGACATTATAATATTGCAGCGACATTGTCATAAACTTGTCTCGTATATTTGACGCAGCAATGTAGAATCAAGGAAAAATCAAACTTGCCCCAAGTTAGCATGCTATCTGGGAACAATCTAAAAATAAACGAATCGTAAAATCAACTCTCTTTTATGAGTTTAATTATGCAAAACCCGCGCTGAAAATGGTAGCAGTTTTTCAAAATCAAGACATAGCTTTGCCTACTAATTTCCGAATGAGTGTAATATTTTTTTTTTTTTTTTTAAATTTACAACTTGAAATGGTTCGTATTTTCCGAATATTTATCAGAAACCTGTCCTTATCCTATAACGACATTTGAAGCTATCGATGTATCGATATGTAAATGCTTTGAACTATACCTTCAAAGGAATTGTTTGCCGTTCCTAGATTTGAATTAATGCTGCAATTTTTTTTAAGTCGATTATAATCATTGGTTATTTGAATGTTCATTAGTCTCTAGGGGCTGCTCTAATAGGGTTTCATTGAGTTGTTATGACATAAAAACAATTCTTTTAAAAGTTAAAATTTTAATAAAATCACATATATTTTTAGTACTTTATTTTTATGTCGTATATCAAACCCATTAAATAATCTTACAATTAGATAAACTTTCTTTGTCGTTATCTTCATTACTGAAAGTCGTTTTTCTGTTCCAGACGAATATCCTTTAGGTGTTTTATCTTTCCTACACTCTTCTCGATTTTATTTCAAGATAAATTGGATACGTCAAGATGCCAAAAAATCAATACATCCATTATTTGAGAGGTAGTGTTAGACGAAAATATCGACTACTATGGCAATCAGTATTTATCGATTGCATTTAGAGTTGCCAGATGGTCGGAAATCGTCTGGATTGTCCAGACATTGCGTATGATGTCTAGAGTCCCGAAAAAAAACAAATATGACCCGACAAAAATTGTAAGATTCTATAAAATCCAATTCAAAGTACACGTGGCAATATAAAAGATAAAATAAGTAGGTATATTAGCTTCAAATGTTATATTATTAAGTGATCTCATAGTCTTTCCAAAAAAGAAGATTATTTGTTTTCATTTAAAAATTTAATTGATATAAGTGGATTTTTTGATTAGTATTTTCTTGTTCCGACTGTGATTCCGAAATCCCGGCCTTTACAAATTTTGCTCAGATATTTTAGTCTCCCCATCTGGCAACAATAATTGCATTACAGACATCCCATATCCTGTTTATCGTTTGTCACTTTGACATTGTCGTACAATGCGATTTCCCTTTAAATTATTTTTCTCTTTGAATTAGCGATGAGTCGTTATTCGTTCGTTCGTTATCGTTTTTTAGTTACATAATGTAACCGCTTTCAGATCATCAATCACCGATATCAAAACTGTCTGTTTTTGATAACTAGTTATTTCTACAGTCAAAACGAATTTTACTCTTATACAAACGTGATAAATTTTGGGTTGGTTACTTAATCACTCCGAAAACCGAGCAACGCGGAACGTAAAAACATATACCTATTTCATTCACACGTATACTGTCATTGTGTTCTTGTTTCATTCATAGATAACAGGTTGCATTGTTCGCGATCCATATTATTTAAAAGCTTTATATTATGCGTTACATACTATACGGATATTAGAATTGCATTACATGATCGTCTTTATGAGATTAATTTTTACATCGACGGTAGTATATAATGACGTCATGTAATGCAAGTTCGCAACGATACGTAGACATATCGTTGCGAACTGTGATCGTCGCTTCTTGGTAATTGCGGTTATTGTAAAGCAAGTCAACCAAACATCAACCTTAAATAATTTCATTAAGAGTGAATTCAGCTTTACTTCAAAACGTTGTGGAGAATAGTTATTATATCAATGAATCCCTAGTGATCGCGGTTCAAGTAAATCACTAGTTGAATAACTGTCTATCGCGAATAACGTCCCCCGGTAATGCGATTCAGCCTCAGGCGTAATCTAGAAGTTTATGAAATATAGATATTTAAAATTCTTGGGCGTGTATTTGGTAATCATATATAGTTTGTCTTACGAAAAAAAGTCCCTCTGATGACAATAACTAAGAAATTAGAGATATGCCGCGGGATTTCTTTTGTGAGACATACTTTAGTTTACTCTAGCGTAATCATTGAGGTTTAGCCTTTAGTACGTGGCGCCCCCCGCCGCGTATGTGGCCGTCATATGCGGCAAGGTCAAGTTCTTATTGCGCGCATAATATAAACAAATACCGCGCGTTGTGTTGTCGCCTCTAATTTATGTTTTCGCGTTTTGTATAACGATAATAATATATAATACTCAGAACTCTCAATAGATTAACAAGAGGTTTTTTGTTAATACCATACATGTTCACGTATAACGAATGACTTCAGCTTTACTCATTCTGTCACGAACTATGGACTGTGGGAACCATTCTATCGAACTAGTTCGTTCGCGAACTGCACAAAACTACAATGACATAATTGACTGCCGGTTGTGCTCGGTTGTTGTTGTGAAAACCGATCAGAACAATAAAATGAAATAATAATATATCAATTGAAAATAAAAATTAGTTATAAGTAGCAAGGGGCAGTCGATTTGGTCACGTGACACGCCGTTCCCGCGAACCTCTTAAGAGGTTCGTAAGCCAGCGGACATTTAAAATATTAATGTATTTTTTCAGTATCTATCTATATAACAAGAAAAACAAGAGCAATTTAAGTGCTTCATATTTTCCCAAAAAAAATCAAAATCGTGGGTAGATCAGGAGAAAAATGGCGCGAAAAAGGTACACGAATGGGCCGGCTCGACCGGAGTGATACCACGGCCTCACAGAAAACCGACGTGAAGCAACGCTTGCGTTGTGTTTCGTCGTGTGAATGAGGGTACCGGAGGCCCAACCCCTCCCTATAACCTTCCCTCTACCCCTCAACCCTTCCCTCCCTATGATCATATTCGTCTCTCAAAGGCCGGCAGCGCGCTTGTAGCCCCTTTGATGTTGCAGGTGTCCATGGGCGACGGTAATTACTTACCTTCAGGTGATCCGTCTGCTCGTCTGCCCCCTATTCCATAAAAAAATGCTACTTTCAAATGCGTGCTTATTGATTTTTTACTTTAGAAACATACTCTTTTATACATCGATTATAATGGTTATATATTAATAGTTAAATATATATATATATAATAATTAAAGTTGATTATTATACTTATCGATTACACACTTTTTTATTTCAAGCTGTTTACTTTCATGCGAACATAAGGGAGGGGACCGAAGGGGTTTATAATGAAATAAAATACGCAGTTATCCTCAACCTCTTTATTGACCCAGCACCTTCCGGAAATAGACAACAAAAATCAACAGCTATCACAGACTTTCAAAGTGTTATAACAACATTTTCATCAGTACACAATCAGCGGCGTAACTATACCGTTTGAGGCCCGTGGCAAATTCTTCGGATACTCATTTTTTAACTAATTGTGTAATAAGTAGTCAGGAGTCCTTATTCCTGACATTTATATCAGAAGTAAGGACTCCTGACATTTATTCCATTATTATATATCCATTAGTTGGAGGGGCCCGTGGCATTTTGCCAACTTGCTACCCTGTAGTAACGCCACTGTACACAATAATATTACATTAGTGGCTGGACTTTGATGCCCGCAAAAAGAAAAATCTATCAACCACTTTGATAGTAAAATTAGACATTTAAAAAATAATTTAATAGTATAAGTAGGATTAATTTATTAAGCAAATAATATTTGTATGTAATTGAATAGGAGCATTACATTTTCAGTATATCACAAGGGGTATTAAAAATCACATTCCACGTTTCATTAATATACTTATATTTAACTACTTTCAACCGATAAATATGAAAACTTAAAATTTTAAAGTAGGTTAAAGCAAATTAATTTTTTTTATATATAAAACGATCCCACGCAAAATGGAAAATATTTATAATTACGTTGAAATAAAGGAATATAAGTATATACTTATGATAAGTAATCCCTATATAATTAGGTATGGAGTCTTGTTAAACTGTTGTTTTATACTTATTTTTTAAAACAAATTATACAATAATTTATTCTGCACACTAGTTCGCGCATTCCGTTTGATTGTTTAAAGGCTAAGTAGATAATATTTGTTACTTAGGTGGGTGACAAATACAGTATAAGTAAAAAAACTTAGTAATTGGTATTTTGTATCCTATGTCCTTTTTAAAACGTGATTGCAAATAAACCGTAATTTACTAAATAAGCACATATAAAGTTAGGTTCATATAATCTTCACTGGCTTAAAAATAAGAAAAAGAACTAAAGTAACCAAACATTGTAGTACTCGAATTAACAGGTTACTTGACCTTAGTGTCTTTTCGAATATGAAATTTAGAATTATTCTCTCGCTCTTAAGTTTTTGTTGAGTTTTTATTAAGATATAAATTAGTGTACCTTATCTTAGTTTTTTTAATAAAATATATTATCAAGTTTAAAGTTACAAACTTTTTGTACGTTGTACAAAGGTCTGCAGCCAGCTATCACGTTAGTTCGTACGGGTAGACCGAAAATTACGATTCACATTCAATTTATACTATATGAATAATAAATGAAACTATTGTAAATCATATAATTCCAAATTTTTAAGAGAATTTCTAAAAAATACTTTTCATGTTTCATAAACCCAATTACTTACAAGGCATACGCTAAAAAAAATATTTTATAATCTGTAGGACAAATATGAAACAATAAAATCAATCAAAACATACTTTTACTACATTATTAGTTCAGTTAATATAATTCAATATATATTGTATAGAAATATTTCATTTTTAATATTTTACGTATACTATTTGATTTAATATTTTACACATATTCGGAATGGTTACTGCTTTTTCACTTATATGTAATTTGTTACGTAATTTTCATACATAATAAGCTTCTAGAATAAACATATAAAACCCAAAAGGCCGGGCAATGTTACACATTACCCATGGGTAAGGAATAGAGTCACAAATAAATAAAACGTTTGCAGCAACGAACCTGAAATTTGCGTCTGAATTAGCTCCTAGACAAGGTCATGTTTTGTCGTTTTTCAGTTGAATATAGTTTTTAAACAAAGAAGGTTCAATTATATTCTTAATGAAAAAGCTTTGATTATCAACAAGCAAATTGTAATATTCACCTAAACATTGTAATTGGTCAGCATTTTGTCATTGTAACACTGATAGTTTCTTGAGTGGTAACTGCTTAAAAAATCCACTTTGAACACTTTGAGATGGGACTCGAATTCATGACCTTTCGCAATGCGCGCGACTGCTCTAACTACTGAGCTACACAGGACCTAACAGGACCTAACAGGACTTTCGAATTTTTCAAGCATTTGTTACTTTTTCGCTAATACAGAGAGTATTTTCAGTACAGCGTTGTTAATGCAAAAATCGATCAAAGATAATAAATTATGTCAATATATGCTCCATAAAATTAACAAATTATAATAATATTAAATTATCTGTGATAATGATTTGAGACGTAGTTTTTATTCATAATGAAATTATTTATCTAGTCCAGGGTTTCTCAAACTTTTCACGAACACTTGCTTCTGCATGCTCCATGAACATTTGTTAACAGATTCCAGACGACAACGAACCCCTTAACGATTTAATCAAATCTCCCATCCAAAGAAAAATAATAAAAGGGGTTGTTGAATAAAAATAAGTTTTTTTTTTAATAAAACGTAACAACTACAGTGCCAAAAGGTATATCTTTTTAATATTCAAGTGTTAGGGGGCTTTTTTTATCACAAATTTGAGTCACTTTGAAATTTTAACTTTCATAGAAAAATAATTGAGCCATCAATAAGTAAATTTTGTCACGAACCTCTAGAGGTTCGCGCACCCCACTTTGAGAAACCCTGATATAGTCATCAAAAGCTTTTATTACAATCTAAGTTATTTGCTAACGTCAACGATCCGATCACGAGTCGTCAGCGTTTCGATCACGAGCCGAATTCTTGCGTTTCGTTGTCAATGGGCCCGAACACGAATCCGCCACGGCCGTCCATCTGGAGATAGTGGTCGTGATGCTTCCACAAGGATTTGCGGTGGGACACCGTGAATAGAGATATGCCCAACTGTTGAATAATTAAATTGAAATTAGACATATTCGCACTTGTATCTTCCAAGCTTCAAACTTCAGTGAACCAGAGGGTCATTTCTGGGTAAATGCATTGCTATGTTCAATAAAGTTCCACAAAATGTAATTGACCTACCCATAAATAAGTTTAAAATTCATGTAAAGAACATACTTATGAGTAAAGGCTATTATAAAGTTAATGATTTTTTTAAGGACCGCAATGCATGTAATTAATAGTCTTCGCTTTGTTCTATAACAACTAATTATATGTATAACCTATGACCTACATACTTTGAAAGTTGTATTTATTATTGTGATAATACATATTATTTTGGTAAATACATGATTTAGTAAATGTCATTACTTATGATAAAGAGCTTGTAAGTTTCTTTCGCTTGTTCTTCGTGTCAGCTAAAAGACGTCCTGAACAAGTGGTAGGGGATTTTTTTTTTTGGAATATTTAAAAGTGTTTGTAACAAGCTTACTTGAATAAAGATATTATCATTTCATTATAACTGTGATCAATGTATGACAATATAGAAAATGTAATTTTTCATTGGCCTTCATTGGCGTATGCAAGGTTTATAAAATAACAAATATATATAGTTATACCTCCTTGCAGTATTGGTACATTTGTCCCTCGACATCAACAGAGACCGCGCTCGTGCATTCGTCGAGTATCGCGAACTGCGGCTCGTGATAAAATAGTCGCGCCATCTGTTGGTCACATTAAAATATTTGCATTATTTCTTTTTATCGCACCAAGGGTGTTATTGTTCGGTTATAAAAAAAATACAAAAAAATATTTCTCTTTATATTATCAGTCAGAGTCAGGAATGTTTATAGTTTTAATAAAGAAAAATGTTTGATTACAGTATAATTAAGTGTTAATGAAAAATGATTGAAAAATCCATTTGTCCCAGGTACTCTGAGATGGGACTCGAACCCACGCATTGCTCTCACCACTGAATTACCCAGGATCTAACATGACTGACAATTTTTTTAAGCACTTGTTACTTTTCCTTTACTACAGAGTGTATTTCCATCAATATTCAGACAATCCACCCAAACAGTCGAAAGAAATATTTTTACAAATATTTCAAATGTTCGATTAAGATGAAAATTTGTTCTAATTATTACATTTGATCGATTTTAAAAATTTGTTTTTATAAGCATTTTAATAGGGATGACGACTAATTTTTGTTTGTTTGTCCGTCAGGTAGTGTTAAAAAATATTAAACACGTATTTTTTTCGCAATCATAAAATTACGGCGTTACATGGAATTGAAATTTCGCTTGACGTCACGTTATGGTACTTTTTTTTACTAAACTGTGACGTAGCGATCCCCCACTCCTTAACTTTAATGCCTATTATCTAAGCTATTTCTTGTTAAATTGAAGTAAAAAAAATACGTATCTAATATTTTTCGATTATCTGACTGACGGATTAAATAGAATTGCATTTTTTTTTACCTAGTCGTCATCCCTATTAAGAATATTTTTCAATATAGCATTGCGAATGCGATGTTCAAATATAACATTTAAGCATATTAATAAGATGATGATCCGTTGTTTCTTCGAGTCCTCGACGGCGTCCCAGGAGTGCTCGCGCGCGTGCAGGTATAGAGTGTGTAGTGTAGTGTAGTGTAGTGTAAGGGTACCGCGATCCGTTGCTTCTCCCCGCCGGAGAGCACGTCCATCCAGTCCTCGACGGCGTTCCACGAGTGCTCGCGCGCGTGCAGGTATAGAGTGTGTAGTGTAGTGTAGTGTAGTGTAGTGTAAGGGTACCGCGATCCGTTGCTTCTCCCCGCCGGAGAGCACGTCCATCCAGTCCTCGACGGCGTCCCAGGAGTGCTCGCGCGCGTGCAGGTATAGAGTGTGTAGTGTAGTGTAGTGTAGTGTAAGGGTACCGCGATCCGTTGCTTCTCCCCGCCGGAGAGCACGTCCATCCAGTCCTCGACGGCGTCCCACGAGTGCTCGCGCGCGTGCAGGTATAGAGTGTGTAGTGTAGTGTAGTGTAAGGGTACCGCGATCCGTTGCTTCTCCCCGCCGGAGAGCACGTCCATCCAGTCCTCGACGGCGTCCCACGAGTGCTCGCGCGCGTGCAGGTATAGAGTGTGTAGTGTAGTGTAGTGTAGTGTAAGGGTACCGCGATCCGTTGCTTCTCCCCGCCGGAGAGCACGTCCATCCAGTCCTCGACGGCGTCCCACGAGTGCTCGCGCGCGTGCAGGTATAGAGTGTGTAGTGTAGTGTAGTGTAAGGGTACCGCGATCCGTTGCTTCTCCCCGCCGGAGAGCACGTCCATCCAGTCCTCGACGGCGTCCCACGAGTGCTCGCGCGCGTGCAGGTATAGAGTGTGTAGTGTAGTGTAGTGTAGTGTAAGGGTACCGCGATCCGTTGCTTCTCCCCGCCGGAGAGCACGTCCATCCAGTCCTCGACGGCGTCCCAGGAGTGCTCGCGCGCGTGCAGGTATAGAGTGTGTAGTGTAGTGTAGTGTAGTGTAAGGGTACCGCGATCCGTTGCTTCTCCCCGCCGGAGAGCACGTCCATCCAGTCCTCGACGGCGTCCCACGAGTGCTCGCGCGCGTGCAGGTATAGAGTGTGTAGTGTAGTGTAGTGTAGTGTAAGGGTACCGCGATCCGTTGCTTCTCCCCGCCGGAGAGCACGTCCATCCAGTCCTCGACGGCGTCCCAGGAGTGCTCGCGCGCGTGCAGGTATAGAGTGTGTAGTGTAGTGTAGTGTAGTGTAAGGGTACCGCGATCCGTTGCTTCTCCCCGCCGGAGAGCACGTCCATCCAGTCCTCGACGGCGTCCCACGAGTGCTCGCGCGCGTGCAGGTATAGAGTGTGTAGTGTAGTGTAGTGTAGTGTAAGGGTACCGCGATCCGTTGCTTCTCCCCGCCGGAGAGCACGTCCATCCAGTCCTCGACGGCGTCCCACGAGTGCTCGCGCGCGTGCAGGTACCCGAGCTGCACCAGCTCGAGGCAGCGCGACAGCTGCGCGTCCGTGCGCCCGCGCCGCACCATCTCCTCGCGGGTCTGCGGGTAGATCACCTGCACCGACACGCATCACCGATGTTAAACAAGTGGGAACAGACATATATCCGGAACGCCAAATTAATTTAACGATAACAAACATATTTAAGTACCAGCTAAGCATTTAATAGTGTAGCATAAATAGCGTCTGATTAAAAAAAGACTTAAATATATATATTTTTTTTATTTAGAATGAAGTCTATTTAAATATTTTTGAACATTAGTTCGTTTTTGTCTTGAAAATATTAAAAAGAGTATCTTATATTTGTCTTTTATCTGTCTGACGGACTAAATATAATTTCCTTTTTTTTTTACCCAGGCAACATCATTTTACAGGAAAACACAGCATGTAGAAGAAAAAATATATCACCATAGTCAGCCTATTAAGGCCCATACCTTTCCTACGCATAGAATCGAGCGCGTCACAATAGCCATTTGTTGCTTCCGCATCAAACTGGTGACTGGACTTGAGAATGACCGGCCACTCTGATCGTGTGGACCGTTCACACTCGTGATATAATTTTTAATTCAGTGATTGCTACCTTTCATTTTAATTTCATTTTGACGTCATTGCTTATCTAGTGTTGTTTGTGATGTGTAATCGCAAAAAATATATATGTGATGTGACATCAGATATTTTTTTTCCATCTGCAGTCAACACGCGCATTGAAACAAAACACACACTATATTCCTCATTCAACTAAAGTGAAAATAGATGGAAAAGAAGCATTAGTTGTTAATTGTTAATGAATTATTATTTTGATATCTTATATGTTATAAGAATTTTATATATATATATGGATAGTGTGTGCAGTGTAATGTTTTCTAACTGCTTTCGTGCATATATATTTTTTTGAACAAATAATCGCTTTTGCTTTCGTCAACAATGTAAACCTAGCTATCGATTACATTTACGGTGGTCGCCGAAAATTTTCTATAATCTCAGATTAGACAAATATATTTTTAAATTATTTTCACCTACGGGAAGCTACATCATATGCCGTGAACATAGGCCATATATTATGCCGAAAAACGGCAAATAATGAAAATTTGTATGGGTAATGAGGAAGTATTAAAAAAAAATAGTTCCCGAAATCAAACTAGATGTCGCTACGGTACGTTTTTGATTTCTCCATGACAACCCATCCGGTTATCTTTCATGTTTAAAAGTAAATTAGTTTTCATAACTCAATAAATAACTCATATTCTATTTGTAATTTTTCGTATTTGCATTGATATCTAAGTTATGAACTTTTCCAATTTCAGCTTTATAATATGTTAGTTAAAAGGAATGAAAATGACTGTCTTTGGTCCATCCGTTTCCTGCAAAAATCAACTTTTGCTAGAGTCGCCATCTAGTGGAGGTGCTTTTTTAGTGCTTTCGTTTTTTTTAAATACTTCCTCATTACAAAGTTGTCACAGTAACCATTGTTTACAGTTCAATTTGTTATTGTAATATAATCTGTGTCATGATATGAATCAATAGCCAAATAAACAGTTCCCTAGGAACCACGCAGGGCGAAGCCGCTGGCAGAAAGCTAGTTGAAGGATTCTTTATAAACGTAAACAAGTTAGGTTGGTTAGGTTGCTGTTAGTTTCATCATCAACCGCAGTCAGCTTAAAAATGATTAAATGTTACGGATCGCAACAGTGCGATTCGTCTACACTTTACTAGATGGCGTTACTGTCATTTAAATCGCGCTAGCGCTGTCGAAACTACGTCTCGTTGATTTATACGTTGGCGAGAAAGAGATGGTCACTGGGGAAGAAAGAGAAGGGTAGCGTTCTAAGAGTTTTGATGATGCCGCGAACCGGTTCCAAGACCAGCCTGGAATGTTCTAACCGGGATTCATTCCAGATTGCCGGTCAAGTCTATCTCAGCCAATATAAATAGGCGGAAAGCTGCTCGTCCCAGCATTCTTTCAGGAACTAACCAATACAAGTGAAGTGAACTATCTGGATGATCAAATAGTGAACTAGTAAAATTGAAGTGTGAATCTTATCGATGGTTTATTTTTGTAATTTTATTGATTAAATAAAGACGGAGTGTGGGATTTAATTGACGTTAATTGTTATCCCGATCCCGAGCTCGTGACAATAATAAACAATAAAGCTCACCTGATCCCTGAGTGTTCCTAGTGTCATATAAGGTCTCTGCGGCACATAAAACAGTTTCCCTTTGGGCGGTTTGGTGAGAGTACCGCCGAATATCGGCCACAGCTCGCCCAGCTGACGGAACATGGACGACTTGCCGCAACCGTTGGGGCCACACACCAGTACGTTCATACCAGACCTGATGATGGATAAAACAGCCTCGTTGTAGCAAATTTATGATGGTTAAAGCAGGACATATTACGGTGAACACTCTCATACTTTATTTTTAAAACTAATAAAATAAATCAATAATGAGATCATTACGAGGAATCGCGTGATCCCGAGGATATATACGTCATTACCGTTCTTTAACAATAATGAATCTAGAATGTTTTTTTTATTGAGAAATCTATATAGACACTGATATAGTAGCAGAATATGATGTCGCCGATGTAAAAAAAAGTCAAGTTTGATTATTTATGAAGAACGGTTATGAAGGATATATCAAATAGGATCTTAGATATCCACGGAATCACTCAGTTTTTATTTCAATATAAGAAAACCTTAAAATGTCTTTAGGACTTTTTCTAATCTATCTTTTTTCAATTTTCGCGCGGAAATGGTAGTCGCCATTCAGTTTAGGATTGACGTTTGTTGGTTGTGACGATTAAACATTAAACACTAAATATTCCAGTGTTGCCCTATTAATGAAGAAGAAGATTATTTAAAAGCCTATTAGTGGCTTTTATAGTGCTTAGCGGGTTTCTAACGACTCTGACGGAGATATGATAATCTTTGCTGTTTAATTTTTTAATATGTCAACTTTTTTGTAACACTGGGTAAATTTTTGTTTCCTAAGCGGCAACATTGAAATGTCAATGCAAATGTTACCTCATGATAGTGACATTCTACAGATGACATATTGTTTTTATTTTCAATTATTAATTTGTTCTAAATCGCAAAGTTAATCCATGAAAAAATCCTTCATATTGTTCTTATATTGAAATTAATAAACGAACCTGACTTCGAAGGAGAGTTCCTTGATCAATACATCGCCGTTAGGTGTCACCAGTGGAACCTTGTCGAACCTGATGATCTTGTCCTGGTAGATAATACGTCCAGCGCCCGGGGCCAGTAACATTGGTGGTTCTACATGTGAAAATTTACCAATAGTGATTATAAATATATATCAATAAATTAATATTAAACGATAATACAAAAAAGCGACATGGGTTGGTTTAAAGGTATACTGGATACTTAGTTTTAAACTTAGAGAATGTATTAGAATTTAGATCATGGAAAGATCATTTCCGAGGAGCTCAAAGTTGCATATTGCGCTACCTTAGACTATTATAATGAGATTTCTTGTCAACCATGGGTCTTCCATAGAGACCGCAGTGGCTGTGTTTCAGTACAGTATACTCACCGCCGCCGCCCTGTGAGTTCCTGTCGACCATGGTTCAACCACAAAGACCGCTGTGATCGATTTTAAGAACAGTATACTCACCGGCGCCCTGTGAGTTCCTGTCGACCATGGTTCAATCATAGTGTCTGCTATGGCCGTGTTGCAGTACAGTATACTCACCGCCACCCTGAGAGTTCCTGTTGACCATGGTTCAACCATAGAGTCCGCTGTGACCGTGTTTTAGTACAGTATACTCACCGCCACCCTGTGAGTTCCTGTCGACCATGGTTCAACCATAGAGTCCGCTGTGACCGTGTTTTAGTTCAGTATACTCACCGCCACCCTGTGAGTTCCTGTCGACCATGGTTCAACCATAGAGTGCGCTGTGACCGTGTTTTAGTACAGTATACTCACCGCCACCCTGTGAGTTCCTGTCGACCATGGTTCAACCATAGAGTCCGCTGTGACCGTGTTTTAGTTCAGTATACTCACCGCCACCCTGTGAGTTCCTGTCGACCATGGTTCAACCATAGAGTGCGCTGTGACCGTGTTTTAGTACAGTATACTCACCGCCACCCTGTGAGTTCCTGTCGACCATGGTTCAACCATAGAGTGCGCTGCGACCGTGTTTTAGTACAGTATACTCACCGCCACCCTGTGAGTTCCTGTCGACCATGGTTCGTTCATAGTGTCCATTGTACACATCGTTTAGAACCATCCGTAGTTGTGTAACTCTCGCCGTGAGTCCGGCTAATTTATTCATCTCCCTGCCGGATAGCACTAATCGGCCAATACCTTCCGCCATTTTCAACAGCATCCTACCGTACGTGTAGTAATGCTGAAAAATTAAATGTTTACATTAGGGGATTTAAATATTTCGATCGTCCTACCGGTACATTCTATTTCTCTAATTTTTTATCAAATAAATTATTACCAGAGAAGACCTTACAAAATGACTATTTACCGGGACACAATACATAGATAGTAGATTATGCAATCTTCATATAAGAAGGGGTATTAAAACACGAGAGTCTTATGTTGACTCGAGTGTTTTAATACCTAAGTTATATGCAGTTTCATACACTACTTTATTTTCACTCTTAGGAAAAATTGATATTAAACAAAGTGGGTAGCTTACAAGGAAGTTATTTATGCATACGCTATTTTTGTCACAGTTCGAACTGCGCATGCGTGCACCTTTTTTTTCATATTCAGCCCAAAGCCAAAAAGATAGCGGTACTATAATGAGTTTTATGATACAGTTGGCGGTACTATAATGAGTTTCATTTTTAATTTTATGTATTTGCGTTTATAAAGTGCGTATGTATAGAATCGTCTTTCAATTCTTAATTCGAATTTTTCGATTTGAGTGTAGATAAAGTTAGTTACATACTGTCAATTAATTACATTTTTGATAGGCCGACAGATTCGTTAGCCTATCGTAACTATTAGCCTTAACTTTACATATAATTGTGAAATTTTACCTTAAACCTGTCGTTTTCAGTGCCAGTGGTCAGCAGATTGTGATTCTTGGCGAAGAATGGCCGTGACACAGCATAGAAACCGACAGTAATGGCTACATCTAAAATATAACAATAATTACATAGAAAATTACATGTACGTAACGCATACTCAACGTATAGTCAACAGCAAGTAAGGCTATATAAAAATATCAAATTTCCCCAGTCGATTTTAAACCTTAATATATAGGAAGTAAAAATTAAAATCCATTGCAGAGACACATTGTGTAATTGTGGTAACCTGACTTGCAGCCGCGTATACAATAAATGTAATAACTGATTAAAAAAATGCACAAGCAATAAATAACAATAGTATATATGTATAGTGATACATCACGTGAGTAAATAATAAACAAACACATTTTAATAATATATTTGACCTAAGATCAAGACACTTTTATCAACGGCGTGCCAGTTACTATGCCACGAAAGAAGGTATATTTTGGTAGTCATTATACAAGCAAACCTTCCGTGCTTCGCTCGGGTATTTTTTAAATAAGGATGTTTTAAGTTTCAGAAAAAAAACATTATGTCCTGGCCTATGTATATTAGGGATCATCATCATCAGCCCTGTTACGTACTGCAGGGGCTCAGCCCTTCCTTATGGATGATTGAGGATGATGGGCCTTGCGGGCCCAACCCCGATTGGAGGGTATTAACGACTGCAAACACAGCCGGGAATAACGGCTTAAGGTGCCATCCGAAGCACGGAGTAGCACCCATCCTGTCACCGACCCTTGCGAAGGTTGATTAACAACAACGATCGCGGGTCACAGCGTTTATCCACTACACCACTACCTACCCAGGGATAATGTAGGTAAAATAATTTTTCAAATCAGTCCAAAAGTTTCAATGCAAATAAACAAACAATCAAATCTATCCTCTTCACTACATAGTATAAAACAAAGTCGCTTTCTCTGCCCCTATATTCCTATGTATGCTTTTGATGCGGTTTTTTTTCATAAGGAAGGGATAATACAAGGTGTATAATACAAGACCACGCAGGCAAAGCCGCTGGCGGAAATTATATATAAAAGTATAGATAAACGGTGAGAAGTTCACGGGGTCAGCTAATCTAAGATAAAAATATCCCGCGTGTCGCGTGTGTATGAGAGTCAAGGACTTATTATGAAAATATACAAATATCAGTATCTCATGCATAACGAAGACGGTTTGTATTAAACAATGGACTCACATTTTGCTACTATGTTGTCTATGAAGCCCATGGCGACTCGGAAGTTGAGGAAACTCCTCAAATGCCTCGTCAGTTTGTAGAAGCTCGCCAGAAGAGTCAGCTGTTCCCTATGATTACCCTGTAGGTAGATATATAAAAACTTATGAGTATATACAACTATATGTCACCCAAATGTTTTAGCAAAAGCGTGTTATTAGTGTAATAGTTATCCATGGAAGTGTTACCCTATATATTGTATTTATTTAGTCATAGATAAATTCATTAAAGTAGTCTGGGATAACTATACACACAAAAATCAGCCATCGCGAAATGTTTGATTCATTCGGGACCTAAGCATTGAATCGAACTTCAAGTCACAGATTATCTTGACTGAATGCCACAACTTCTAAGAGTTCAACAACTAAGAGTACTAAGAGATAGTAGAGTGGTTAGGGAAGCGTTTATAACATTTCAAACGTTAAGAAAGGTTTCAATTTTCGGGTGTCTGGAAATGGCAGTCGCATATCACTTAAAATAAACTATTAATTTCAATCATTTATTTCAAATCAAACATCTCCATCAGTATGAAAAATACAATAATCAGAAAAGTGTCGTTTTGCTATTAGACACATTAAACGTAGTGGCAGAAGATTGCAAGTGTCGAAACTGGGGACCCAATAAATATATAGTACATAGTAGCAAATAATAGACAGGGACAGTCATTTGATTTTACCCTCCCCCTTAGCTGTTGTGATATGCAATGTTATCTAATACAGTACCTGGTAGAACGCGATCTCTTCTGAATTCGTTATAAGCCTAGCGTTGACGTATCTGAATTCTCCCTCCAATTTCTGCTCCTGAACTGTCATCTTAGCTGAAAAGGCATAGAAGAAAACATGATTTCTAGACTACAAGAGGAACTTGTTGATTAAACTGTTAGACAGTTAGACGTCAGTACAATCGTAAGTAAGGCTGGATTTCATCATACTGACGACGATAATGACGTGCTAACTTTAACATTGACTGCGGAATGCGCTGCAACATTCCCTTTCATAAAATAACATCTTTAACAAACGAACTTGGACGGTTATAGTTAACAATTAAAGTTATGACGTTGTCTAACCATTGCAAAATGATACGACTCGTTATTTTATTAACCGATGCTTTAACATGTTTATTGTCAATTAAAGTTGTTTCAACCAATTAAAAGGTTCGGACGTTTCATGATCACATTGAGGAACAATAATCATGCGCTCATTAATAATTATTATGTCATACATAATCGAAGTATACGTGATTTAACATAACATATACTTATTTTATTAACTCTTAGGCAGTACAAAGTTCAAGGTGTCAGCTATTTAAGGTTCGCTAAAGTTTGAGCTGTACATTTTTCGATAAGTCTGTCAGTTGTTTCTTGTTAATAATGCAGGAGAAAACAACCTCAAGCCATAAAGTAGGGCTCTCCAGCCACTTGTACCTTCCTCTCGGGGCTAGGTCAAAGCAAGGTTTACCAGATAAAATTCAGAGTCAGAGAAAGTGACAGACAATCACTTTTACCTTATATATTAGATGTTATAGCCTATGTCACTCTGGTATTATGTAGCGTTCAGTAGTTTCGGAGTCTATTCGATGCAAACAAACCTCTTTATATTATTAATATAGATATACATAAATAATAGATAGGAATAAACATTAAAAACTGATCGAATTAACTGTCGAATTGACGTAAGAGCGGTTCTTCCCAAAACGATCACTAATATTGTTGTGAAAAGGAATCTCCAAACATCTACATAATAGAGTTAGTTTAGAAAAAAAAACTAATATTGGATAGGAGCATTTCACTATATTAGAGGGAATGGAAAATTAATATATTTCAAATAAAATATTATTGGTAACAAAATTTAAAATGCCTTTTATCATTATGGCTCTTATTAGAGTTATTCTTCATTTCAGTTGATACATTATTATTTTTCGAAATTTGAAAGGCATGCTAAAAGTTCCGTTGTAAAATGTATTTGTCATGTTGGTAACAGTTGCATACAATTAAGGAATGAATTACATATAATCATTAAATATGAGATAAAAGAAAATCCATTGACAATGATAGTTGGAAGCTGTTTCCTGGAGTTACAATTACAAATCAGATAATAGCAGGAAAGCTTAGACCTACAGTTGTTCCTCGGAGATAGAGAGAGAGAATATCGTGTTAACTGTTTTGCCTCTACTCGAACACGCGTAGTTAACGCAGAAAGGGAGCATAGCGGAACAATAGAGAATATTATGCAGAGTAAACAAACTTTTTCGAACAATAGGTATTTTGGAATTAAATGATTCCTTTTCTACTTACATCCAAATAAAAATTGTGTATTATAAAATTACACTAAAAAATATAAAAATTCTCTTAAGCTCACTATCTCTGACGTTAAACGTTTATAAAAAAAAAACTGATAACTTCATGAGTAAGTGCTGCAATAATACGTATTATTCGATCTTCTGTTTGTAGCTGTCTTTTACTGTATATATACTTATAAGAGTAAGTAGTTATTTAATAGGGAATCAATGGCAGCAATTCTGTTGCACTAATTAGATAAAATTAGGTTTAGTCCTGTCAAACTCGACATTAATAATTTAATCTCATTGACTAATCCTTATAATCAAAAAATACGCTGGATATGATTGTGTTGCAAAAAAAAAACTGTTATATAAATAATTCTTTCAATACATAATAATACCAAACTTCAGTCTCATTACTTTTATTTTAAAAGCCATTAATTTTGTTTACTACTAAACACAATTTACGTGTTTTCAAATTAAAATTGGTTAATGTTTATTAAAATTTAACATATTCTAAAAGGTAAATAAGTCGGCTGCGTTAGCAACATGGCCATCAATTTGGTAGTATAATACAACAAGTACATTTAGGAAGAATGTATGTACATGTTAATAAATACCGAGTTGACAATATGATTTTAATAATCATTTTGTTTGTTTGTTTGGATTTGTATATTTCGTCAAAAAGAAATGCCTGACGGAGTTCGAAAACCTTTTCCACATTACTGTGGAGGCTATTCGTAATATGTTGCTGTGTGTACTTAGCCATTTGTAGTCACCTAATATATTAATGTGTACTTACCAGTTGGTTTCCGAAGGAAGGTCAGGAATACTCCAGATAATAGGAGATATGCCACCATTATACCGGGTGTCTGAAATCAATTAGGTACAAGAATGTTATTGGTTATAAGTTATTTTATCTTGTAACATTTGTGTAGGATATTTTTAGGTAATAAAATTTTAGACAATATCACTTACATTGCTCAGATTCCAAAATGAGTAGCTCAAGCCCTCGTATTATGGAATATCTGAGACAACGAAGGTACCACAACACCCAGACCCGAGACAATACAGAATGGGTCATTTTGTCAGAGCTGGCGACACCGTGACACCGGGGTATGAACCTTTAGACTACGGAGGTCTGAAATAATGAATATCTATACTAATGGTCTTCCCGAGATTTCGCACGCGTAAATCATAGGCTATGTTACCCGCGTACGATAAAACCACCCGTGGTCTTGGAACCTATTCAATGCAAAGAAATCTTACCACTTTATAATATTAGTACAGACTACTAACATAAAGATAAATATGTATGAAGTGTTTAAAATGTGTTGAACAGTACTTTTACAGACGGAAAGGTGAAAGGTCGAATGGGAACTGTCTGAAAGATGAAACGTGTAATAGACGATTTTATGTGAATCGAGAAGTATGGTTAAAAAATAATTTAATGTAAAATGCTTCGAAAATTGGTCAGCTAATTTGGTCTCTGGTAGCTCAGGGGTTGCGAACTGTTGTGCTCCATGTCGAGCTTCATCTCCGGGTGCCAGGGACTAGTGATTTTTAAAGCATTTTTCATTTAAGATATTTTATTTATAAGAAACCAAAAAAAAAATAATTAGAAAAACACATTGCATCGACAGTATTTTAATCGCCATTAAATATTAAAAACTATTCAAATTTAAGTTATAACAGAACTCGGAAATGGAAGAACATTAGCATCACAGTATCTTTGTCCTATAAGTAATTTTATGTAAATTGCTTTCAATGAATTCAACTTTGATGAACTCAACTCAAGGTTCAATATAGTTAAAATATCTAGAAATAATTATGCGATTATTTCATATTGGATGAAACAATGATAATAGTTTGCTTGATGAATAGAATAATGATAACAATTTCCTCATTTCATATCAAAATAACATTATAAATAGGAAAGGGTGTTTATTTTGTATGTTTATATTTTTTGGTGTGGCGATAGTAGAGAATAAAGTGATATATGTTTTACCAGATTTATAAAGATCTTCTAGATCAGCGGTCGGCAACCTTTTGGTAAGCAAGGTCCACAAGGTGCAAAATAAACTAAAGGCGGGCCCTTGTGATAAATGACCTTAGAAGCCCAATATAATCTATATAGCCCACGAATAATTGGTCATATTCCAGTGAAAAATGAAAATGCTATTAAAATTGTTAAAACATACGGAATTTATTTCGTACACCGAATGAAGACTACAAAGTAACTATAAACAAGTAACTGATTTTATACAATGTATCATGTCCTCTTTCCATATATAGATTGACCTGTAACATGTTTCTTTTAAAGGTCTACATATCATTAGTGACAATTTAAATTTGAAAATAATGTTTTGAGGTTATAACCGATGTCAAACTCAATATAATTATGAAGGTACTTTAAAATTGATGCATTAAAATTAAAGCTTTATAAAATCTGACTCGTAAATGTGAGAATAAATTAATATGTACTTGTTATATGTAATTCCTAATTATTATGTTAGAAAACTATGTTAATTATATCCGCGAGCAGAGCGAGGTACGTTCCTAAAACTGGATCCACATTATAAGGCCGATCGCGGTTCATTCATGAATTTATTACGATATTTAAAATTTATGAACAAAACATTTACGGGCCGCAAGTAAGACGTACGCGGGCCGCGTGTTGTCGACCACTGCTCTAGATCAATAACGAGCTTATTTCGAAATAAATAGAAAGCCAGTACCTAGCCATAAACTAGGTATTTTGAAAATCGTAATAAAGCCAAGACGAATAGTAAAAGAATTTACTTTCGGGCACTTCATTTTTTTAGTTTTATTTTCTCTTAATAGTGTATGTGATCAAATACTTTAATGATCTGACTAGATACCCAGAAGAAAATGTATACACTATTTAATATTCTAATAAGAATGAAATTAAACATTAATTATGTCATCGACATCGTATCGTGTACAGATTTAGATATTACCAATTACGAAGTGTCATGCTCAATCGAACAGAGTAGATATGTTTAACATATAATAAGATAGATAATGAATTAAAAAGGATAAGACTCATTATGTATCAGTTGTACGAGCTGTAGTTACTAAGGTAATTAAAAAAATTTGATGGTTTACGCACAAAACTGGTTAAGTCAGCTAGTAGTATACATATGTATGTAATCATTACAATATATTTTTTTTTTAAGTAACAAAACACATTTTGCTTGTAACGATGTTTTTTGTATTTTGGTATCGTTTGTAAGGCGGTACGAAGTTCGCCGGGTCAGCAAGTTAATTATAATAATTTTGAATCCATCGTTAAATATTATGTAGGAATAGTTTTCAGCCAGGGACTTCGCCAGCGTGGTCCTGTATATCTAAACGCTAATCTTGAATCACTCTGTATTTGTATGTAAACATTAAAATCCGTTATGAAGTTTAAATATCTCAGCATACAGACAGCGGAAAGCGATTTTGTTTTATACTATGTACAGATACGATATAAAAATCTAGAATTGTCTTGAGTAATAAATAGATAGTGTTTATTACATTAACTATTGCAAATACTTCTTAATTTGTCATCCAACTTATATTTTATTTATATATGGCCTGAAGTTATTATAGGATGTTTATTAATAAAATGTCTGTGGTATGCAGATCTCTTTAAAAGATAACTTTAGACTTATCGTCAATACTTTTATTCTCTATATTTTCATTTATCCCAATTGAACTTATTTCAGTAAGTTAAAAAGTAATCATAAAAAAAAACAACTGGTTATTGTCAAATTATCGAAATTCAATCACCAAATTAGTAATATTTTTATTATCAAACAATATTTTATAGTTGTTTAACTTTAAGTCCAAAAGAAGTCGTATTCTTAGGACATAGCAGGTGTAACAAAACCATTGCTTTTGTAACCTTTTGAAGATAAATAATGCACAATTTGCATTAATAATAAAAATCTATCTGTGTCTGTCCTATGCCAATAGTATTACATGATTTTACATTAAACCTCTAAAATTATATACATAAAATTCGGTGGCTAATGGATATAAAACACAATAAATTGATAATAAACTCTAAAATTACTTACAGAAGGGCCCAAGTTGGTTGTTAATCGGTACAAGTAGATGCCAATGTCCAGAAGAGGTTTGCTTATGTTGCTGTATAAATCTATGACAGTATCACAGAACTTGTCTATGTCAGTGGTCAACACTTGGTCCGCGTTTGATATCCGGTTGTCAAGATTTGTTACTTGGTAATATGTGAAACCCCTAGAACATTAACAATTTTTTTTTTTGGTAGATAAGAATAAGGGAGAAATTCTTGCTGTAATGGTTGATCATGTATCAAAAAATAGTTGAATAAGTAAATCTAATACAATAAAACATATTAATAATAATTAATAACACTCAATACCTGATGCATTGCATTTTGCAAATATTCAATAAAATACAATGAGAAAATTTTATTGCCAGCAAAAGGGTTAAGTAAGTTTCATTTTTGATACATAGCATTCAATCACTATTCAGTAGGATCCTGAAACATTTTTCAGTAAAACTTCTTATCCATGTCATTCTTTCTATGAGAATTTATGATGTATAGAAAGAATAACATGGATAAGAAATCACTCTGCAATCAAGCTCTGCAGGAGACAAGTACCAGAAATCAATCTACCTACTCCTATCAGTGATGTTTATCTATCATCATCAGCCCTTTTACATCTCCACTGCAGGGGCTCAAGCCTTCCTTATGGATGGTTAAGGAGGATGGGTCAAGACCCTCCATGCTGTGATTATCTATATTATACATAATATTCAATTATGTTTGTGTTTTTTGATAGATAAAGGTAAACTTACTTAAGATACTGTTGATACAAATGTACAGATAAATTGGTTCTTATTCTTAACTTTGTTTCACCTATACTCCATTTCAATACATTATTTACAATTGATATCTGCAACAAGAATATTTTATAATGCATAAACTAACAAATACAATATTAAAACTGTGAATGCTGAGTGACTTTCCATATATCAAAAAATGTAGTTGTGGAAAATTTATTTCATACTAAGATATTCAGTGTGACATCATGTTATATTTTTATACTAGAACTATTATAACTTTTGAATAAATAAAAAAAAGTATAATACTAACCAGTGGCATGGCAATAAAAAATTGTGTTAATAATCTCTTGAATTCAGGAAGGTTCATTGTGATTATAGAACTGAAATAGACAAAATTATAATTATGTGAAAATTAAAAGTCAAATTGGTCCAAAACACTTCAGTAATGAGTAATGTATATTTAAAAAGTGTCACTGATCCATTACCTTTATTTAACATGAATGTAAAGTTAAATGTGTGGTCATCACTTATTGGTGCTAATTCTGTTGTACACTACCTAAACTTAACTCAATAGGAATTGTTATATGCTATATTATAAGTTTGTGCAACAAAAGTGTCACTGTCTTTTATGTAGAACTATCTTTCAGCAGTGGCTTCACTGGTGTGGTCCCTAGGGAAATGTTTAGTGAGATAAAAAGTATCCTATTATCTACTTCAGCTAATACCCTATCTGTATACCAAATTTTATCAAAATCAGTTCAGTAGTTTCAGCGTGATTGATCAACAAACACCCAAACAAAGAAACTTATAATATTAATAGGATTCAAGACAAACCAATTGACTTTTTAGGTTCATTTGTTTTTAATATCTTAAGGGCTGTCCATTATTCACATGATGTTTTTTCAGCATTTCCAACACCCCTCCCCCTTGGTGATAAATAGTGAGGTTTTGACTAAAATCATGTGTATTTTTAGTACCCACAAAAAATCTTAATTTTTGATGCTGCTTTTTGGTTAAGTAATAGCATGTTTGAGAAAAAAAATTAATATTTGTGATAAATTACTATACTCCCCCCTTGTAATATTTCAGATTTTTTTTAACAAACCCCCTTCCCTCTTTCGAGCCTGACAAGATTAATGGATGGCCCCTTAGTACTACAATAGCCTTGCTATTGCCTGCTCTGAAATTGTTGTCAAGTTAATTATTTGAAATTTAATAAAATTCTACAATCAGTTTGCATACAATGATGGAATTATTATTAAATCCTTAAATTATATAAATCTGCATAGGTTAGAAATACTTCATATCCATAATTATATTTCTAATTTTATATAACTACAGAGAATATACAACATATAATCTTACTATTATCTGATATAACATAATTGTAATTAGCTTTGATTACATTTTGATAACAACTGATTAGAATTTATATATATCCTTACCCCTCGATTAATGTGGAGTGTTGAATGAGCCAAAGATCACATATGGATCTAGATATCAATGAAAATGCTATAAGCACCATCAAGCCGCTTTCTTTACTCCATAGACCAGGGAACATAATACCCCATAGGGCTTTTAGTTCAGCAAAAAATCGCGCATCCACTTTAGCCTTTGGTCCCTTTTTATTTTTTTCTTTTATCATATACTGTATTTGTTCCTCTGGTGATAAACGTGCTACTTTCTTGACATTCTTGTTTTTTCTGAAAAGTTTTATTTGATGAGTTAATGTAATACTATCAAGCAACATGCTAACATATATATAATAAAATAAAAACCGTAGGCACAGAAGCACAACATTTAAAATTAAAAAGTAATTTTAATCTTATAATAATAATTAAAATGTAATAAATAACATAAGTAAAAGAAATCTATAGATACTTTTTCTACGATAAAACCTAACAAAATTCATAATCATTTGATTATTTAAATTTAAAAAGCAATAGCAAAACATTTTGTAATCGCACCTTGCTTGCAAACTGTTCCGAATGACCCATGCACTCAAGGCTGCTGAGGCAGCCAAAGCGATTTTAACATCGGTCCTTGAAGTTAATTTACTGAAGTTTGGAGCCATTGTTATTAAGAATTTCACCTCATTTATTTAAAACTGCATAACACAAGCACAAAACAACACATCAGTCTACTTGAACAAGACTTAACTTCTAAAAAAAATTAAAAACTATTATCCACTACACAGACTACATAACGCAGCAAAGGGTATCGATACTTAGAAAAGCGATATTCGATACTGCAGCACGGTAAGTACTCGCAAGAACTCATAAAATAGCCGGTAACGATTGCTTGATACGACTTGTTTACAGTTGTCATTTGGCTTCTACGACTGAATTTTATAAATCTATGGAAGTATGGAAGACTATATTGATAGCTATAAGGAATTTGGCTTAATAAATTTAATAAAATTTTATATTTGTTGGACGAGGAACTTTGGATGGAAGCAAATTATAAAAGGAGCTGGATAAATTAGGACAATGTGGATGAAAGTATTTAAAAAAAAAGAAAGCACTAAAAAGCACCTCCACTAGATGGCGACTCTAGCAAAAGCTGATTTTTGCAGGAATCGAATGAACCAAAGACAGACATTTCCGTTCCTTTTAACTAACATATTAAAAAACTGAAATTTGAAAAGTTCGAAACTTAGATATCAATACAAATACGAAAAAGTACAAATAGAATATGAGTTGTTTATTGAATTTGAATAGTCATGGAGAAATTAAGAACGTACCGTAGCGACATCTAGTTTGAATTCGAGAACTAATGATACGAATTCCCTCTTTTTCAGAAGTTTAGTACAGGCTTACCAACTTAGGGCTTTTAGCCCCAAATTTAGGGCGAAAATAAACTAACTGGGCTTTTTTTGGAGCTCAAGAAATTTTAGGGTTAATTTTAGTGTCAAATAAATTAAATAAATTGGTAATAAAAAAAAATCTGGTAATATCTAAATTACCCATTTAATCTTTTTATTTGGTTTCAAATAGATTAATCGACATCGTTGCAACATACAAAAGAACTTTGTTTTCTCTTCGAATTCGACCATTCACAAAATGTTAAATTATTTGACAAAACAGGTACCAATTGTGCATTATACCTATAGAAGCAAATGTTTAGCTGGACGTGCGTGTATGTCTGTGGGCTATCTATGCATATTTCTATGGCTTTAATATGATATTTTCTAATCTATTTGCATTTTCTGTAGTTTTAATTTCGTTTCATGGTTTTGAAGCTATCAGCACGATTATAGAACAATGGGATGAGCTAAAATTACTGTTTTCACTTGCTAAGTCGCAGGACAAATGTTATATGACAGAGCAGCTTCATGATATTATAAAACGTCTACCGTTTAAACCATTGTTTTTTTGAAATAAATTGAAAAAAGTTATTAAACTGAATGTTATTTTACAAAGAACGAAGTAGAACCTATAAAATTATTTGAAGACTTATTTTTAAATAATACAAGCAGGACGGGGCTTTTTTGGGGTTTTTGATTACATCATTCGGGGTTATTTAGGGTTATTTGAGTTTGGTTTTAGGGTTTTATTTGCATGCTAGTAAATAAACAAACCTCATTATATCGATGGTGAAAAATAGTAAGGGCGTATCTCATCAAGGTAATAATCGGCTTTTTTTTCTTGCGTCGATTGATCTGGGCGCGACCGCCCAACCACGCCCAACTCATGGACGTAGCCGTAGTCGTAGCTATAACCTACGCTTTATCGATATTTCTTATGAATCTGTTTATATTCTTATAAAATTAATTGTTATTTTTAATTCATATATTTTATCAAACATTTTGGTTTGTTTTTCTTTTCGAAATAGCATTGTTTGTATCAATTTAACATTTTTTAATTTCGTTTAACTTTGATATTTCAGCAAACAAAAACAAATAAAAGCATCGATTAAATATGTAAATAATAAAAAATGATTAATTTTAAAACAATATCAACAGATTCATGTGTAAAACCTATAAAGCGTAGGTTATAGCTATGACTACGGCTACGTCCATGAGTTAGGCGGTCGCACCAGTGGAGGATCATTGCTCTACGATGATTTGATATATTGAAATCGAGAAGTGTTTTTAAAAAGCGTACAAGTTTTTAGGGCGTAATGGTCATCAAACGGCTATTTTAAACTTTTTAGACGAGTGAAAGTTTGTGTTTAATAAAAAACAAAATTTACACACACACTGAATAAATACACTGTATCAGATACGTCTTTTTCGCGGAATCCGTTTTTAAACTTCTTTTACGATATTCTTTAGGTCAGTGTTTTTCAAATAACAACAATAATTCTTTTACTACAATTCGAGAATAACTACCTAGGTCACAAATTCTGTTACTGGTTGTTTACATACATTTAGAATAAACATTAATTTGAATTTCGAACATTAGCTTCTACGATAAAAAATAGACTTTCCCGCAATTATAGTATGCTTTTTGTTTAGAAATTATTTGTTTTTAAAATGGAGTGGGGCACTAAAGAGTATAGGATTGCAGTAATTGCACTGTACAAAGTAAGTAAGGAGCTAGCCGACATTTTGGAAATATAGAAAAAGATTTGACGAATATTTGTGTATCGTGCCATCCAAAGGTACACTGAAACGATGTCTGTTGATGACCGTGAGAGATTCGGCCGACCGCGGTCTATTCGTACAAATCAGGCCATTAATGCAGTCAAGGCCACAATACGTCGAAATCCCATAAGGAAGCAGAAAATCTTTTCCAGAGAAATGAGAATCTCACCGAGGACATTTTCTCGGATTATCAAACAAGATTTAGTCTAGGGGCTTACCGGGGATACACAGGACATATCTTAAATCGGGCAGTAAAACAAAAGAGTGTCGAAAGATCAAAACAGCTGTTACTTCGATACGCGGATGAAAAACAGAATATTTTTCTTTACCGATGAAAAAAATTGACAATAGAGGAACACTTTAACAAACAAAATGATCGAGTGTATACACTCAGCTCTAAAGACACTTACAAGGTAGTAGTCAAAGTTCAGCAAGTCCATCATGCAGCATACATCATGGTTTGGTGAGGTGTCTTCTACCAAGGGGTTACAACTTACAAAACTCCATTGTTGCGAAAAAGGAGTGAAAACTTCAGCCAAAGTGTATCCAGATACCGTGTTAGAAGCGGTAGTTAAACCTTTCAACAACACCTTATTCAAAAACGAAGTGTGAACTTTCCAACAGGATTCAGCCCCGAGTCATAAGGCACGCACTACCCTTGGCTTGAGCAAAATGTTCCTGACTGCATAAAGGCTGATGATTGGCTTTCAGCTAGTACAGACTTAAATCCTTTGGACTAAAAATTGTGGTCTGTGCTAAAGGACATGGCCTGCTCTAAGCGTCGCCTAAATATTGAGTCGCTCAAGAAATCTTTGGAAGCAGCAGTGACCAAGTTTCCAATGGAAACCGTTCGAATGAGCGTGCGTTAAAGCTAAGGGTGGACTTTGAATATATAGTTTAATACGTTAACATATCTTTTGCACTCTACATAATCACATATTAAACTTTAAAATAAAATATTTTTTTAAAGAAATTATCGGACATTTCCTTTGTAACAGAACTTATGGCTAGACTAGGTAAAATCAAACTTAAACATGTCATGACAATATTATGTGAGTTAATATTTTTTAAATTAAGTGATTATAAGGAATTCGTTTCGAGAATATTATAGTTTATTCTCGCTTACGTCCCGCCAAGATATTTAAGTCTTTATTACGGAAACAAACAAAATACTAAGTTTACATTCCAAATATTTACCACACAAGTAAAAGTCTGTGTCATATTCAAATTTGTATAAATTCGACAATAGGAATAGAATATCATTTGTTGCTGTAACTAGGGTTTTATTAGTCAAAAGCATTTTACTGCCACAATATTTTGCCAGTACATGTGTTTCTTCAAGAACTTCTTACCTACTATACCTAATAAGATTGCGCCTTCTATTGAAATATAGGAACAGTATAATATTTGCCGTCATATGAATATTATGTTGTTATTAAAACGTTGATGTTCGATATCCTAACCTTTTCTATAGATTTGGACTAACTGAAATATGTATGTCAAATCTAATGAAGTAATTCAGTAACTCTTTCGTACTAACAAACTGATTTCACAGAACATTTTTTGCTGATTGCTCACACTATATTATTTCAGTGAATTAATGTTTTTTACTTTCATATTCACTTTGTATTGCAAAATATTCTATAAAACAACAAAATAATCCGGCAATAAAAAATTAGCTACTAGTTATTAGACAATTAAATTGAAATTTGAATCATATAGTCATGGTTTAAATACTATGTGAATTTCCGTTAAATTTTCAGATTTTTAGCTCTGGTGTAAAGTTGTGATTGTTTTAGTTACCCTTTCTGTTTTCTGCCATCGATATTAAAATCGTCAACAGAAGACCTGCTGAAAATAGTGGGGTGCAGTGTGGGGCTCGGCCATAAATGTAAGGCCGGGCATTTAAAAAAAAATCGTCAACAGGAAGCCATATAAATATAAATGTAAAAAAAATTATCAATTATTATTATTCGTTTAAAATAAAGTGAAATATAAGTGTTACTCTTATTTTATAGAAAACATATAGAAAACAATAATTGAAAAATTTTTGATGTCAAATACAGTAAAATTTCATAATAATTTTTAAATATCAAATGACAAATCAGACATCTTTATTCAAACTCGAAGTGTTTTTTGCCGAGATAATTTTATTGAAATTTACTTCACTTAATACAACCCTTTATCACCCTAAAGTGGTGAGTACGCGCAGGATATCAATAGTTTCAATGTTTTATGAATTGACGTTTTATAATAATGAGCTTCTAATGTGCTATAATTTTGAAGATCCAGCGTGACCTTGAATAATGACAAAGTTTTTTTGGTATTCATTATAAGTCCTGCGAGCTTGCTAAGACATTTAAAAGATTTACTTTGTTAAGATGATCGATTTTCGAAGGAAAAGACATCGTTAATATTATTAAATTTTATTTTTCACTTACTTTTACATGATCATTTGTTTGGACACAAATATCAATTAATAACATTAATTAAACAAACATTCAACAAACTTATATCTATTCAGTCATATCAACTTATGGACTAAAATTAAATCAAGTGTAACCAATATATACAAAATATTATGTACAAGTGTAAGGAGATCGATTGTAGGTTGTT